CAATCACCTTTAAAATATTTTACTCTGTATCTTAAAGGTTTCTTGTGACTATATTATACCGGTACTCAAAATATGAGCTTCAAATATTACTGCAGTCTGTAAAGAGATTTTGTAAGTTCAAGCCCACTCACGATTTTCATATTGGAACGACTTGTGAGGAAACCACTCAACGTACCTTTGCATGTTTTCATACAATATGGCCTGTATGGAACCAAGTCCAACTTGTGTACTGTTTTGCAGGGGTGTATGCTATCTCTCTTTCTCCATGATGCTAACCTTTGTTTTCTTCATACTCCTTATTACCCATTAGCCCATATTAAAATTGCTTGCTTAGTGTTTTTTAAGCTTGACTTTATATTTTAAAACTGTACACAATTTTGTTTTAAATAGTTGATTCGAACACATACATGTTCACTCTTAAGTAACAAAGAGTATATAGGGTAATTTGCATTAGGCAGAACAATTAAGCACAAACTTGTAAAATTATGCAAGTCAGAATCCTTTTTTAAATTAATCAAATACATAATCTTTGAGTTTTCATTTCCTCGTCTTTGTAGGCTTGAGTCAAGCAATCCAGTTCCCTCTAGGAAAGATCTTCAGTTTCAGAGCATATTTTGGGGCGAGTGTTTCTTCACAAGCATTGGCAAAATACAGCACTATTTCGAGAATGAGCCTTAGGTCGGTATGGAATAGTAGAAGTAATTAATATCTTTAGTTTCAAGGGCGAAATAGTCCACTATAGGGCAGACTTCATCAGCTCAGGTTTGCCAAATAACCCGCTATTTTCAGACGCAGGATATTATCCCGAAGCTTGGACGGGCGCAAATTAGCCCGCTATCTCCGAAATCAGATTTCTCTGATATTTTCTCCTCTGATTATGGCGTGGGTGGAAATTGTGGTATCAAGCAAGGTTTTTTTTTCCTCCATCAGAATCATTAAATGAAGTACTATTAGATATGCCTGCAGTTGTAAAGATGCTGGCTATATTAATGTTAATACTTCCGAACTCGTTTCTACTCAGTTCAAAATGTGGGAGTAAGGTTTTTGTCTCGCCTGCGTAGCAAAAAAGCGAGACATTAGGCGCCGCTTTTCCGGTGACGGCGGCGACGGCGGCGGCGTCAACATCAAAAACTTAACCTAAGGTTAAGTTTTTGAATTTTTGATATAATTTTTAAAATATAAGTTCTTAGTCAATGAAACTTGGACTATAGGGTAATCAAGTATCCCCAATCATGTGAGCAGAATTCAGGTCACTAAGTTAAGGTCAAAGGTCACTAAGTTAAGGTCAAAGGTCATTTTAGGTCAACAAACTTGGATTATGTTTTTACAATTTAATATGAGAATAAATGAATCAATTTTTTTTTATTTGTCCATGATTCTTAATCAATATTCACTTCAAAATTCTGCTGATTATATTCAGAGGATTTCATTTTGGGGGGCCTGCTAATGGGCCACCCTTCCTATAAATAATGTTTCACCCTCAATTTTTCATCATATCTAATTGCGTAATGCAGGCGAGACTGCCGAGAGCGTTTCCCTTGTTTTATTATTATTTTGTATTAACAATTTCTTGGTCAATCAAACATGTCTGTATTAAGCAAGGGTGCTGGTACTGTACAAAAAAGGGGGAAATTCCTTTGACCACCCTATTTTGACTATCCTTTCATAGAAAAAGAAATGATACTAATGCAGGTATACAATAGTACATGAAAGGAAATTGTTCATTTGTTCATAACATCATACAAAGTGAAACCATCCTGCATCCTGAGTCATTCGAGGAAGGAATTGAATAATCTGATTCTTACAATCTGTCCCCCCTCCTACCCCCCCCCCCTCCCCCCTTGTGGTAGTGGTTAGTAATTGATGTAGTGAGAAAAATGCTGTTAAACCTTCCATGGCAATACTCAGTTTTTGTGCAGAGTATACACTGTATACCGCATTTGTTTCAATGCACATGCATGCAGAGTGGAAATTATTACATAACTTTTGACTTTGCATAATTAAAGGCATTGTTTAACAATGTTTCCATGGCAGTTTTACAAAACTGAGATGAATGGCCCAATGTGTTATCAGTGTCTGTGATATGGTGTAATATTGAAGCCCTAACAAAACTGTGCATCAAAATGATCATGAAGTGCCTCAAAAGCATAAAAATCTTTGAGTGACAGGTTTTACCATACCAGTACTCATTTTCCCCAATAGACTGTAGTGTTATAAAAACCATTGTGAAAACGTTATTTGAAATTTTGAATTCCAATAATAAATATCTTGAGCGATTGGCTTGTAAGCGTCGTGGGATTCCGGACTGACATAAAGGTTTATTATTATGATTGCATCATGAGCTAAATCCAGGATTTTGTTTCAGAATCCGAGACAGAGATACCCAATCCCTTTACGGTCTGGTGAGGTCACCCTCATCCTTTGAATGAACTCTATGCCTCTGGAAATAGATTTTTTGGTTTACCAACATATTCAAATTTATGGATCTTTCTCCCCTGGGGACCTTCTGACGAGTTATTCCATTAACCCGTTATTAACGAATGAACTCCAATCCAGTCTGCATAATAGTACTGCCTCGGGCAAGCTTTCAGGTCGCCGAGAATGATCTTTGTTTAAAAAGTATGCATACGATTTGAATCTGTTAGTTAAAGAAAAAGTTGAGTTCTGGTCGGTCATGCGATTGCATCGTGAAAGATTAGGTGTGGAATGGAAGAGAGAAAGTTGATCATGTAGCATGAATTGGTGTGTACTGCAAGGTTCTGGAGTCATCAAAATCATAATAAATTTGGCCCAGTCTTGGTAAAGTAACAAGCACTGTACACAGGAAGATGTATATGGGACTACACAAATGGTGTCGGGGCTGCTTACCTTGATTCCCTTATCTTTTTATGCTCATTACTCAGCCAGTATCCATTTTCTACCAAAAGTGTTTGGCAAATGACATTTATTTGCAATCTTGAACATTCAGTGTAAGTTTTGTTTGATTCTGTGAGAATTTATTTTCTCTTTTTTACCAGAACTCAAGTTTATTTTTAACCTGTTTTTGGGGTGGATATTATATTAGCCTAGGGGAACAAGAGGATTTGATACTCAGTGGGTTAAATTCAAAATGACCTTTGAACTATTATGTTCCATACAAGCCCCCTCTCTTTAACATGAAGAACTAAACTATGGACCCCAGACTGCACATGTCCGAGTTTGCATTTGTCCAGACTGCCTTATGAAACATCACATAATTTTTCACATTTTTTGCATTATATAATTGAATATCTGTGGAGTAGCGAAGGAATACCGAACGAAAAAGACAAGGAATATATATTTGTTTTCTTTCCTTCTCCATGTCGCAGCTTAGTTTCGTGCTTGGAAATCAAGCCTTGTGTTTTAATGATCATCAAGAATCCTGGTAGATGCTTGCCAGAAATAGACTTAATTTGCCAAGGAAAATGAAGGAGAAATCAATAACTTCTACAATTAAATGGCTTTCATGTGTGCTCACACGTTTCTGTGCAAATCAGATCATCTTTTTTATGCGACATCCATTTTGCACACGATGGTGGATGGGATTTTATAATTTCACCATAATAGCCTTCTTTCAAATAGCCACATGTGTGCTGCCTAAGGTCTTCTGAAAGATCAAAATGTGCATACCTGCTTATTACTGGGTCTGTCTGTTGCTATTCTCCAGTTTGTGTGTTATAATGAGGATTTCATAATATCATTTTCCCCCCAAGTTTGTCTTCTCAAAGAATAATTTCTTTTCCCTAAAATATTTTGAACAATGTTTTCATAGGTATACTCCCTCTATGATATCCAAAGTCAATATTTAAGATATTTTTCTTGGTTTTAAATATTTTCACAAAGGCGGGTTTCCAAGTTGCCAATTTTTTAAATATATTGATCTTCAAAACTTAAAAACAATATTCCAAACTCTCAGTTTGTATTCATCATATTTTTCTCAGACTTTCAGTGACTTGTTTGTTTCATTTCTCTAATTCTATTGAATTAACGAGTCAACTAGCACCGTCATTGCAAGGACCTTCCTTTCCTCATTTCTTCTTCATCGTTTTGTGTGCTTGTTTCTTTTCTTCTGTTTTTGTCCGTTTTGCTACAAGTAAATGTCAATATAACCATATTATCTCTGTAATTCTGCTGACCTTTCTACATGTAGATCTTCTCCTTTATTTTTGGAATTGAGTCTTAAACCCTTAAGCTAGAGCTAATGAAAAAGTAGCAAATCATGACCTCATCTATTTAACCCTTTGCCCACTGGAACCTGGTGGTCCCTGTATTACATGTAAGCCTATAGGAACTAGAGAATTCAGTAGTCATCGGGTTGCTAGACACCTTTGGGTTTTCCCTGATTACTTGTAGACAAAGAAATCAGATCCAAGGCAAATTTCTCAGAGGTAATATAACTGCTCGTTAAGAAAAACATTACCTACTTTTGCCGAATACATGGATTCTTTCAGCAAAAGGGGTTTTCCCCTTTCTCATGAAGTCTCAAACAATCCGCTATTTTCAGACTCTGGATATTATTCCGAAGCTTGAAATCGCGTCATAACGAGACTGATACGCTCATCACTAACTATCTCGGATGGGCGCAAATTAGCCCGCTATTTCCAAATAGCGGGATATTTTGGAAACAAGACCTCTCGATAATCCGAGGAATAACCCTGATAACAGCGTGATGGACGAGAACTAAACAAACTTCTTCAATGAAATTATTCTTAATAATAATAATAATAATACACAATATTTATTAGGCGCTTAATACTGGTATCTCTAAGCGTACCTAGTCTGACTAAAAAATTATTTACCAAAACTTATAATAAACACACAACTTATACAACTGTTCTTTATTCAATAAATCATGCATATATAATAATAAAAATAAAAGTGAGATCAAACATACATGAGGTCAAACAAGAAATAAGATGGTGTGCACCTCATTCTTCTGTGAAATTATTCTCTATTTTTTGTTATCCCATTCTATTTTTCAGTGGCGAGGTTCAGAACTTCTTGTCTCTCGATAATCCGAGGAATAACCCTGATAACAGCGTGGCGGACGAGAACAACACAGACTTCTTCAGTGACCCCAACGACCCGAACACCATCAACCTGGGACCATCGGCTAATCCATCGTAAGTAGAACTGTCCAACCATCGTTTTCTGCGAAGAAAACACCTTTAGTAATAGTTACACACAGAGCTGCCAACCATTGCTTTTGATGATTAACTAACTCTGTCTAACTCACATTGATGTGTATTTCATATGTATTATAAGTTGTAGGTTTATTTGCACTTTTTTTGTTTTGTTTAATATGTTATTGTTTATCAGTCTATTTTGTTTGTTATAGCGCTTAGAGACTTTGGTGGTAAGCGCTTTATAAGTAATGTTTTTATTATTATTATTACCGCTATTATGTTTTTCCCGAAATTATTCCGTTTTTTTTCTCAGAATTACGGAAGTACGTTTTTTTAATTTATTTATTTTCAAATATTTTTTAAACATACCGCCCGTCAAACAACTGCCCTAAAATGTTGATTTGATCACAAATTCAATAGAAAACTAAGGTTGAAACATACTTGAAGAGAAAAATATTCTCAAAAAGAAGGAAACGCCAATAAAACCAAAATAACAACAAAAAATACCTCCTTGTAAATAAACTATACGTCCTACTATGCCATTATGGTGCCTTTTTTGGTCGCACAAAATTTGGACTGGGCTATTTTATTCATGTAGCTACAGATGAAGAGAGTTACGTGGAGTTGCTACCCAGGTGTTTTTTGTTTTATTTGTTTGTTGAACATTTCTCTCTTTTTTTCTTAAAAAGTTCAATATTATCTTTACCTTATTTGCAACAGGTGGCAAAGTCTCTCCTTTTTATGTATAAGTAAAGTTGACAGCCAGTTCCATGCCAAGTGCCTGTTAATCCGTATGCGCATTAGCACACAAAGACAAGCAATTGACAGCATAAAGCAGGAATCCATTAGGGTTCATGCTAACAAGTATTTGTTTATGATAAGCCTTTATCTGTATTTAGATTAAATTATTCAATGCATGGAGAAGGTGTTCTCTATAAAGAGTTCGAGCAAGTCATGTGCATTCAGGTCAGGGCGCCTGTTATTAAATTTTATAACACGTCGGTGAGAAATAAAAGTCTATAAGCACCTGATACAGGGCTATTAAATCCTGCAAGAATGGCGCGGGTCTGGCAGATTCCCATAAAAGCAAGTCGTAATAGTCCCCAAATTGCTTGGAGCACATGCAACAGTGTGCCTGTACTTTAATCCCAGAAATGCATGCATGATTACCTTGCTTTCTTCAGGTTGTGTTTATAGGGACAATCATTTTGGGGGGTGTGAATTGGGGGCATTTTCCCTCTTCCTATCATCAGTTTGAAGAAAACAAATTTGACAGTTGTATTTTTGATGAAGTAGTCCTTCTAAAAAGATCACACAACAGAAAAACTTGTTAAATACCTGGTTAAGATACAAATGAATTTGCTTAAACAGAATATACTTGTATACATTTTAAAGAATGGTTAAATCAACCTCCCAGCTGCAATGTGTAAGAGCTCAGCAAAATTAGATGACTGCATGAGTAAATGCGTCAGTCACACCGATGCGTATTTGGCCAGCGTGTTGCTGCGTATTTATGGCAAGCCGTTTCAACATTTATTCCTATTTCAAGAATTACCATTGCTTTACAACAGAAAATCATTTCTTAATATCAAGAAATAGGAATATATGTTAAAACTGAGGCATAAACTAGTCTCTGTACATACCGTTTGCAACTAAATTGTTCACACCCTTACAAAGTTTTTATAATTTTTTAAGTATGTGGAAAATGGATTTGTTCCAATTTGTATATGTTCCTTGGGAATGTGACATACTAAAGCTTACATCTAAAAAATATTCAACAAAGGCCTTTATTCAACCAGTCCACCTTTCAGTCTTGAGTTACAATTAAAGATAAACTTTAGTACTGGTAATGTGATTGCATTGTGAGAGAAAAGGTGTGGAAAGGATCAGAAACAGTTGATCATGTAGCATGTACAGTAAGTATTGGTGTGCACTGCAAGGTTCTGGAGTCATCAAAATCATAATAAATTTGACCGAGTCTTGGTAAAGTAACAAGCACTCACATAGAAAGCTATATATGGGACAACACACATGGTGTCGGGGCTAGTACTATCTTGATTTCCTTGTCTTTCTATGCTCATTACTCAGCCAGTATACATTTTCTTCCAAAATTGTTTGGCACATGTCATTTATTTGTAATCTTGAACATTCAGTGTAAGTTTCGTTAGATTCTGTGAAAATTCATTTTCTTTTTTTACCAGAACTTATTTATCTTTTATCTCGTTTATCTTTAAGAAACGTCAAAGTGACGACGAGTATGAATAATTCAGTTGCTAACCGTAGCATATCCAAACCATTGGCTGTCTAGCTGGTTGATATCCAGGTGAATAGGGTGACCTTCGATGGAAGAAAAGGAGAACACCTCCTATAACTGTAAATTGTAACTGCCATATGTAAGGTATTGGACCAGCAAGAGTATTCATTTGTTTATTGTAAAGTGCTTAATGGAAGAGCCAGACAATTTAGTACTTAAATGCAGCATTAAATTTAATGTGGCGTTTATGACAACAGCCTGTCTATAGGATCGTCCTACGATCTAATTTACAAAGAAATCTCATTTATATTAGATAAGAAATCTTGACAAATTTCATATTCTTTATTTAGGTTCTAAATTATGATAAGAATACTATCAACCAAAATTCTGTTGCATTCAAAGGAGGTGTAGCATGATGAGACTATGTGTCTTTCCTGTGGCCTGACTCGGGGCCAATCGGGTATAATACGACTACGGACGAGGCGTGAGGAGAACTTCGGTCCGTTTCCCGAATGCTAGCAGGCGCTGACCGTTAACCAAGTTAATTCGTTTACGTGCAGTTGTCCAAAAGAAGGCGTAGATGGCGTTTACCAGTATTTGCCATGCTACACTCCCTTTAACTCTTCTAGTTCCATTCCTTGTTTTTTCTCTAATCTATAGGGCAAGACCAAGTGACTTTGATTTCCTGAAGGTGATTGGCAAGGGTAGCTTTGGCAAAGTCCTGTTGGCCAAACACAAGATCGATGGCAAGGTGTATGCAGTCAAAGTGCTACAGAAGGCTGCCATCGTCAAGAGGAATGAGGTAGGAGGATGATTATAATAAAAATAATAATAATAATACATTGATAGAGTGCAGAAACTATTCAAATCTACTGCGCTACAAGAGCTCCTGATGTGCTTAGATTTATAGTTAATTGAAAATATGTGCTTTCAGTTTTTATTGATTTAAAGATACATGTAATGCATTGTTCTGATAATAGTAGAGAAAGACATTCCAAAGCAAAACTAATGCTGAAAGTTCAATACCTCATATTAATCAAATCTGCAAAATGAATTATGTGGAATTTCTGATAAAAATAGAGGAAAAAAAATTAAAGCAAAACATATGATTCAGATTCAACCAGATACATGTATAGAGGGAAGGCTCACTTTTTGCTATTTTAAAGGAAATTTCCTAACAGCCATTTATCTCTATTCCACCGATTCTCCACACCAGGCGAAACACATCATGGCCGAGAGGAGCGTCCTCCTGAAGAACCTCAAGCATCCTTTCCTGGTCAGTCTCCACTACTCCTTCCAGACGGCCGACAAGCTCTACTTCGTCCTGGATTACGTCAACGGCGGAGAGCTCTTCTTCCATCTGCAGAGGGAGAAGTCCTTCCCAGAGGTCAGGGCCAAGTTCTACGCGGCGGAGATCGCCAGCGCCATCGGGTACCTGCATTCCTTGGATATCATCTACAGGTGAGTGTTGTATGAGCGCTGAGAAGGTGTGGTAGTGGATGACATCCCTAATGTATTGCCTATGGGACCTGGGTGGTCCCTGCTCTATTTATAAAGCCTTTGGGAGTCAGTAATCAGCAGGTTTTGACCCTGAACCATGAATTTGTTCAACAACATGAGAAAAATGTAGAATGGACGAAAAGAAAATCAGATGAAATAAGAAGCCCATGGGTTTGCAAGTGATGCAGAAAGCAACTGTCTGTACCTACTGTTTGCCCAACTCACATCTCTATGACAATTAGGAGAGACAAAAAATACTGCATATATATATGTAAATTGGTGCTTGTATGGAATTAGAAGCAGGCTGCATGCGGAGCATGTGGGGGGGGGGGGGGGGTAGGGGGAGGGGAGCTGAGCATTCAATTTTGTTATCATTTTGTAATGTGTAATATTAAAAAAAATGGGGATTTCCCCCTTTCCTTCCCATCCCCCTTCAAAAGACCCTGAGAATTAGTTATAATTACTTTCAATTTAAAGAAAATCCTTTGCTATGATAACGAACTTTACTTTGGGGGAGTGGGAGCTGAGCATATAATTTTGTTGTATGTAAGTATTACAAAACTTTTTTTAGAGAGAGAATTGGGATTTCCCCCTTTCCCTCCCTTCCCCAATCAAAAGCCCCTGAGAATTAGTTGTAATTACTTTCAATTGAAAAGAAAAATACCATTCTTTGATATAATAACAAACTCTACAACCATGATTTGATTGCTTTCAGAGATTTGAAACCTGAGAACATTCTCTTGGATCACGATGGCCATGTTAGACTGACAGACTTTGGTTTGTGCAAGGAAGGGATCGCAGCCAAGAAAACCACCTCAACCTTCTGCGGCACACCAGAGGTAAGTTTTTTTTTAGCAGATGTTTCTGCATTTATTGATAAATCAAATAAAAAAACTCATCAAATAACAATAATACAGTATTACAATTTAATTACATTTTAGGTGAATGTTAATTGTCACAATACCATTCCAGACATTTTAGTGTTGACAGATTTTTAAAAGCCTGTCTTATGGCTTATTTTCATGTAAAAAAATCGGTTGGGAAAATTTACTGTTAGAGGGTGTTGCACAGTGACGCCTTCAAAGAAAACCATAAATATCTTAATTATTGTAGTTTGAGAATTTTTTCAGGATATTTTGCTTGTTAGAGGGTTAGTACAGTAGAAGGACTATAATAAGTAACATTTAAAACAAAAATTACACATTTTTTTCATCAACCTTCAACAATGTTACCGAGTCACTTTAATAGTGCTGGGAGTTAAAGAGAAAAGCCTAGGAAAGCTGAGTTATTGAGAAGTACTTCTATTGTATTACTTGTATTGTATGTACCTGTATTTCATTGATTGATTGCATAATTATACCTGTGTTTGATTTTACAGTATCTGGCACCAGAAGTATTAAGAAAGCAGGAGTATGACCGAAGTGTAGATTGGTGGTGTCTTGGAGCTGTTCTCTTTGAGATGATGTCGGGATTGGTAAGTATCTACAAAGAGAGAGAGAGGGAGAGAGAGAGAGAGAGAGAGAAGGAAGGAAGAGGAGGGGGAGGGAGGGAGGGAGGGAGGGAGAGAGAGAGAGAGAGAGAGAGAGAGAGAGAGAGAATTTGGAGATGAGTTAGGAGATCAAGGCAAAATTGTGATGACAGGAGGAAGAGGACAAAGGAAGGAGGAGGAGGAGGAGGAGGAGGAGGAGGAAGAAGAAGAAGAGGAAGGGGAAGGGGAAGGGGAAGGGGAAGGGGAGGGAGGGAGGGAGGGAGGGAGGGAGGAGAGAGAGAGAGAGAGAGAGAGAGAGAGAGAGAGAGAGAGGGGGAGGGGGGAGGGGGGAGAGAGGGAGGGGAGGAAGAGGAGGAGGAGGAGATGGAGAAGAAATAGAAGTGAGATACATAAATTGATAGATAGATATGGGAGATTAAGAATGTGTCATAAACAATGAAAAAGGGGTTTTCCAATAATAGATGCTGCTTCATGACTTTAATTATAATTGAATCATTTTCAGTTCAACACAAGCTAGAATGGTGACACATTTTTTGTCTGCCCTCTTTTATTAATACAGCCTCTCATTCTGCTACAGAGACTTGTACATGAATGTTAACATTCTCAATAAACCACCAAGAGTAAGACTGGTTCTCCTATTTCTCTTCCTACAGCCTCCATTCTACAGCAGAGACACAGCCGAGATGTATGATAACATTCTCAACAAGCCACTCCGAATGAGGAGCTCTGTTTTCTCACCAAGTGCCAAGGGTCTCCTCGAAGGGGTAAGCCAAGACTGTTCATGTTTGAAATAGAGTGGCCAATATTCTTGTCTGGGTTAACCCAATCTGATATGTATGGCAGGCCAAGTTTCAACTCTAATTTTGATATAACTGTAAAGATGGAATAGAAATAAATGAACAATGTAAATTGGTCATGACATGGAAATGAGAAATCAGTTTCATAGTGATGAAAGGCATCGTTTGACAATGTTAAATCTGAGATGCATGGCCCTACGTGTTATCAGTTTCTGTGATATGGTGTAATATTGAAGCCCTCAAAAAATTGCGCTTTAAAATCATCATGAAGTGCCTCAAAATAGTAAAAATATTTGAGTGACCGGTTTTACCATACTCAATTTCCCCAAAAGACTGTAATGCTTACCGGTATGTAAAAACTGTTGGGAAAACGCAAAATGAAATTTTGATTTCCAATCATAGATATCTTGATAATCAGACAGGTGATCGGTCTGTAGAAGTCATGGGATTCCTGACTGACCTAAAGGTTTATAATTATCATCGAAGCATGAGCTAAAGCCAGGATTTTGTTTAGAATCTGAGGCAAAGTTACCCAATCCCTTTAATATTGAGTGGACCTTCCCTTTAAGCCTTTCTGAATCATATTTTTATTCACACCTCTTTGTACTCTGTTTAACCTGTAGCTGTTACACAAGGAGAGAGCCAAGAGACTGGGTGCAGGAGACAAGGGCTTCAAGGCCGTCAAGCATCATGAGTTCTTCAGCTCCATCAGTTGGTCAGACCTGGATGGCAAGAAGATAACTCCTCCTTACAATCCAAGAGTGGTAAGTACTGAAAGATCATTGTTGGGGTGGTCCCTCAGAGAGGACCTAAAGCCATTGGTCCTCTGGTTGCTTACTAACAACAACAAGCATTTATGCTTTCTTTAATAGCAGTCATGTAAAATAACCAGCACTAGCTTATTGGGGGAAGGGAGGGAGGGAGAGGGAGGGGGAAGGAGAGAGAGGGGGGTGGGGACAGAGAGGGAGGGGGCAGAGAGGGAGAGGAAAGTGAGTTCTTCTCCTCCATCAGTTGGTCAGGCCTGGATGCCAAGGAGATAACCCCTCCTTTCAATCTTAGAGTGGTAAGTACTGAAAGGTCGTTTACCTGTGTGGGGGGGGGGGGGGGGGGGGGGGGGGGGGGGGGGGGGGGGGGGGAGAGGAGGGGGGGGGTGGGGGTCGGGGGAGGGACAGAGAGGGAGAGGAAATGAGTTCTTCTTCTCCTCCATCATTTGGTCAGACCTTGATGCCAAGAAGATAACTCCACCTTACAATCCTAGAGTTTGTCTGTTTGTTTATTTCGTTTTATTTCTGCATTTATATTTTAAATAAAATGCATACAAATACCAATATTTTTCAATGAAAAAAGATAATTTACAAAAAACGCATGAGCAGTAAGCTTGATTTGCTGCTTGATCTCATTTAGGGGGGAGGAGGAGGGAGAGATACAGGTAGGCAGAGTGGCTTAGAGGGGGAATGGGAGGGGGTGGTAAAGGCTTAGTAGAAGATATTATCTGAGAAAGAGAGAAAATAATGTAAGGGGTGTCTCTTTACATTCCTGAGAGGGACAGAGAGGGGTTTATACTGTAATCCAATAGTTGCTCGATGGAGAGAGAATATTCTTACTTATTTTCCAGAGTTGATGTTCAGGAAACAAGAACTAGATCAATCTAAATTTAGCTAAAATCGGTTGAGCTGTTTTTGCCTGGTTGTTTTCATTAATGTCTCATAAAAAGTTTTATTGGATAGAGCATTCAATTCATAGTTGCTGGTATTACATTATGAATCCAAGGCAGTCAAAAAAGTACAAGGACTATTTATATTCCAGTGTTAGTCTGTCTCAAGCAATGTCATTGTAATCCCCCAAACTACATAAACATATAGTTTTCATCTGCAGACATGTATGAATCTCCAAAACCGCTAAATTAAAGAATTATGAACCTATGACTTTCCACAGATATTTACCGCATCTGGTCGCTCCTTTTTAACAGTTCTGCCCACTTCTGTCACTTTGGTTTTGTACATTTCTTGTGTTGTATATTCTGTTAAATTTTACCATTTTGTAACAACTTGTAATGCTATGCAATCACACACAGTATATCCCACTTTACTCATCGTTTGTAAATATTCATTCTCTCAGTTGGATCAAGTATTTCAAAAGTATTTAATTTTGCTTTTGTGCTCGAGGTGTCGTGGTCGAGTGGATACGTCACCGGACTGTGCATCACAAGGTCCGCGGTTCGAGTCCCACCGCTACACTAATGTCCTTTGGCAAGTCTTTAATCTACATTTGCCACACTCAACCCAGGTGATATAAATGGGTACCTGGCAGGAATTAATTCCTTGAAATGCTAGAGCGCCGTAATGGAAGCCATAGTAAAGCTGGGGTGATAATTGCAGAGCGCCAGGAGTGTCAAGTCTGACAGACATGAGCTCTATATAAGAACCCACTACCAGTATTAGTATTAATATTATTATTCACTAGTATACTGTATGAATAATAATGATATTATTTTTCTTTGCAGAGCGATAGCATGGACGTGAAGAACATCGATCCAGAGTTCGTCAGGGAGCCCGTTCCAAACTCCGTCGGCAAGTCGGTCGACCCCAACACCGTGAGCGCAAGCGTGCAGGACGCAGACAATGTCTTTGAAGGCTTCACGTACGTCCCTCCCACCGTGGGCTTGGATGATCCTTAGGCACAGACACAAAAGATTTCTTTTTCATTGAGTTACCTCCTTTTTCTTCATTTTGTTTAATGTCTGATGAGATGGGAGGCCATTTTTAATCACATCTGCCCATATTCGTGAAAGCGGCCAAAAATTGAAACAAGGCATAACTTACATAGTCTTCTGATGTATACGGGAACGCCAAGTGTCAACCTCAAAGTTCTATATTGATTATTGTCATCATGAATATGAAATTGATAAACTAATGCAAACTTATTAAATTAAGATGTTGGGAACTGACTTATCTGATGCGCTACAGGCTAAATACAGGAAAGACTCAGCTCCCATAACCAGTTGGTAACACCAGAATCTTATTACAGAGCGACACATTTCTGTGTATTTCATTTAGTTACAGAATTGTGCCCATTTATACAGGATGAAAAAGTTAACATTTGGCGCTCCATAAATTGGTAGACGAAATCAGCGCACTTAGCCGGGTTCAAGCCATCCCTAAAGGTAGGGCGGCTTTCAAGAATATGTGCCGTTGTGCCCGAGAACCAGTAAGGCGGTGATTCCATCTGAGGCATATTAGAGTGCTTTCGCAAACACGCAAACATGACGGAAGCAAAGACGACTGGAGAATTACGGCAATACAGCTCTTCCGTCGTGTTTAGGGAACGGACGCTATCATGGCCGCGTATGGACGTGAAAATCAACAAGACGGAGAAAATTCTGATTCGCGCATGCGCAGATTTATTTTTTCGCTCGCTTTACCATCGTCTTTGCTTTCCATCGTGTTTGCGAAAGCGCTCTATTATTGATAATGCCCTGCTGGCTCTCGGCGGAGAGTGAGGATAAACCAAGTGATGAAGTACATGTAAAAAGAGAGTGTTCCTTATAAGTGTCTTTTGAGAGATTAACTCTACAGATTTTAAAGTTTTTAGCCTTGCCTATCACTCAACTGGATCGATTGAGACGGTCGTAGAATGACGTCGTTTTAAATCGTTGATGTAGTTCTCGCAAAAATAAGAGAAGAATGTGTAGCGGAGAGTTTCAACTCATGCTCTTTTAATACAGATTGCCAAGATTGATTAATTTCTTGCCCCTTATAGCATCTCGTGATATAACTGTCAAATATATATATATATATATATATATATAATCCAAATCAGTTTCAGTTTGAAGCAATGAATAGTATAATACTTGTAGCTTGTGTGGAATTTTATTCTAAAAACCATGCTAATTTCCCAGAAATTATCAGAAATGATGTTTAGTTTTGTATGAAAAAACATGCAGTCTGTTCTAAATCGTGCGATTGAATATTTCTTATAATCAAGGAGATGAATCTATTTTCTCAAGATGTCGCCTTTCCTTGTTCCTCTCTTCTTGTCTTTCGTCTCTTCTTTCCTTCGATCTTTCTTTCCTTCCATGATTTGAAAGCTAACATGCGGGACATGTTAAGTATGTACACCAACAAATTTATCCCAGAAATATATCTTTGAGCTCCACGACATCTAAACATTCTTTAGAAAAAATTGAATATGAATAGACCGTTTGCTTTGATCTGTCGCCCCTTCTTTCTACTGCTTTGCTACTGGTTCTTCTACCTCTCTTCTGTTTATTAAAAAATGATTGTTTCCCTTTCTTGTAAAATCAAAGCTTTTTTTCCCATGGAATCTTTCAAATCAATTTTTTCTCCTCTCGAATATCTGTAGATTATTGCTTGCCTGTAGAATTATTTTAGCATTTGTGCCTTCAAACATTAGATTTCTTGCTTTCTAAATCTCTTTCAAAATCTCATGCAGATTTGAAATCTAAATTTTCCTTTCTGAGACTGGAAAGTGAAGAGGGAAAACGATTTTGAGAGTAAGACTTCTCTTTCCAAGGATGTTGTCATATTTCCTGTTTTAGAATCCTCTCTTATTTTTCTTCATCTTTCTTATACACTTTCGGTTAGGAAAGTGTTTTATCAATGGACAATTCAAAAGCTTTAAGACAATATTTAGAATAGGAACGAATGCAAAGATTGAGAGATGTTTTGTTTTTAATTAAAGGAACGCGATGTAAATGAAAAGATGAACATACTTTAAGTGTTTCAGGGCATCTTGTAAAATGTTGTAAATATGTACATGATCAATTAGATGAAAGAAATACAGAGCAGAAATACAATTGTGGTATTATCATGTCTTGTAAATGTATTCAAATTCTTATGTTGGTGCCTATACATATGCATTCTTGTTGTACATTGTACATTGTTTTGGAGAGAACATTTTATCATCCACCATCTTTAAAATATCTTATATTGCAAATGCTGCTTTTAATCTGAGTCATGTAATTTTTTCTTGAAATATCCTATGAAAGCAAAATCAAGTAATCTGCGGACTTTATGCATTCCCATCACGCTCTGCATGAAGACTTTTTCGTCCAGGCTCATAATTTGTACAAGCTATTAAAGGTTCTATGCATAAATTAGTTTTTAGTCGCCATAATTGATTTTGCTATATATGTAATGAAGGTGAACTACAAAATCTCATTAATTATGCAGGGAATTTGAATTATATTAAGTTGATGTTTCTTCAAATGTTTATATATTTTTTAAATGCATTACTTATGAAATATTTCAGAATGAACATGTGTAATGATTTATAACCACCCGCTCTGATTTTCTTCTTATGATTTGAAGGGGAAAAAAAATTAAATTTTAAGCTGCTTAATTTTACAGATACAGCATAAGAACAAAACTTTGCATCTTGTTTTGTTATTGTTCATTTCGATCCCACCTTTATTACTGGTAATGTACGTTGCATACATGTCTCAAGATGAAGAATAGATCAAGAATTGTCGTAACGTTCTACTGCCAATTTGACGAGCGTTTAGTGCTTCATCGCCTCCTTAATTGACAAGAGATTTGCTTTCAATGTTTCAGACATTTTGATGAGTTTGCTTTCTTTTATTTTCTTCAGGAGTTTGATCAATTACTGCCTCTTTTACATGTTTGCAGTAATTCAGAGCAATATGTTTCTTGATTTTGAAACAGTAAATAACTTCTTTTATATTTTAGTTGACAAAATAACCAGCTGTTACCATAGAATACCAATTATCTTTGTATGTTTTTTTGCAATATAGATGTCTCTAAACACTGATAGCTTGTTGGAACAAATCATAGACAGTAATTTTTAAGTTCATTTTTTTCCTTTTACTTCTAACATTAAAGTCTTGTATTTTCCATTGTAGGCATACATGTACGTATTTCCTTTTCTTTTCCAATTTCATAAACATGTTGTAGTTTTAATTTTCATCCCTCTTCTTATTTTTGTGTATGTTCCTTTGCTAAGCTTATTCATGTTTATTTTAAACCATGTTTGCAGATGGAATGGTTTCTAAAATTTGAAAAAGCAAAAGCAAACTTCATACAAAATATTTTTTCTTCTGCTCTTTAGATCATTTTTAATCTGATTTTGCAATAACCGGGTGCTGCACACGATGTAAAAAATGATAACATGACAGTTAATTTTATATAATTTATCATTATCAAATCCTCAATGATTTGATCTCATTCTTTTTTCATGGGATGGAATTTGTTTGTATTTTGAGTTACATTTAAAAAAAAAAGGAATTGAGTTGAACATGCAAAGATACATTCTGTGACATTCTCTGCTTTCGTACTGAACTTTAATGATAGTATTTCAAAGCTACTTTAAAAAAAGAAATATGGCCAAATACGCAGATTTACTTCAACATTCAGTGTGACCAGTCATTCAAACATTGCCATTGCTTTGTAATGTCCTGTATACCTCCACCACCGTTTACTTCAGTAAGCATTGGTAAGGTATACTGGTAGATAGAAACATAGCAATTTGTGTTTTTACCAGATGCATGAAAACTCACTTTTAAGGACCATGCACCTGGACCATTGCGACAGGAATGTTGAAATATTTCTTTTAGAATACATTGCATAATTTGCTATCGATAATCTGTAAAGCATCAGCCACTCAAAATCTAGCATTCTCTATAATGATGGTATTTCCAGATGACTTGCCATCAACTGTGACATTTCCGGTAGGAAATGTTGCATTAAAGCTGTCTTTGAATGCAAAGTTGTAATCAAGAATGATTTTTCATGTATGAGCCAATCAGGAGTGTAATGTAAATTATTAAGGTGGATCTTGATTGGCTAACCATGATTGTACATTGTAGCTTGCATTCGCAACTTGATGCAATCAATCTCTTGATTGCATTCTCTTGTTTGCATGAAAACCAGGTAATGATGCCTCAAGCTTTATTTTTATCATTCACGTACCAATTTTGATGATGGTATATATAAACAAAAATGTACATGCTAGTGTCTTTGAATGTACAGCAATGATAGTATTCAAATATCATTGAAACAAATTTGTACATATATCTCATTTTTGTAAAATGCAAATTGAACTATACGCTACAAATGTTCATATAGATTATGGCAAATGTGATTTCTAGCAAGTCAGTATCATTGAATGAGCGAACTTTTTTCAGAATGTTTGTCTTACTTGTTTGTTCTTTTGAGTAGAAAAAAAATGCCTCGATTTGTTCATGATCAAGTTTTCTCTTTTAAACATCTTCTATTCCTGTACAGTATTTCAGAGTAACCATGCTATTGATGAATTCTGTATATAAAATATATATTATGCAGTGTTATTATCTCTTGTCAGTCATTATTTCTGTATTCTTTCTGTCAAAAAATGTAAGAATTTATTGAATCAAAGTACAACTCGATCTTACAATTACCGGAATTTTATTTTGTAATGATTATTATTTTATTAATACTTAATTACTAATGGGCATTCTCTATCAATTATGTGACAAAGCGACTTAAACTTGTAGATTATGATAGAGTTGTGACACTGAAAATGTTCTTCTTTTTTTTCGTTCCTTTTTAAATTTCATGTTAATTAAATTCCAAGGGAAAATATGTGCATTAAGACATAACCTGTTTGCATCGACTGGAAAAAGCCTGTGTGAAATGGGCTTCATTCAGATTTTTTAGTTTGATTATCTAGTAAATCATGAAGTGTATATCAACAGACCAGGAAAACATTGTATTTGTTTGTGTCATCGTGTTTGGTAATACATTCTGAGAAACTCTTAATCAGGAGATCCAAAGCAATCTTGCGCCAAATGGACCCATGTGAATGATTACCGTTTCTTCATACTTTTTTCATACTTTTTTCAGAACCATTCATTGAAATCATTTGTTTTTAGATGTGACTTGTTAAAGATGTACTGCTCTGTGACTATTATGGAATACAATGTGGACCATTTTATTGCTTGGATATTGTCTGTATGTTCAGAGAGCATATTATTTCTTGTGATTGGACGACCAACGTATTAAAAGAATTGAATTGTACCGTGTAATCGTAACGAGACAAGAATTTTCAAATGTTGAAGGGTAGGGAAGTGGTGGAGTGTTTTGACTACCAACAGTGCTTAGAACGTGTATGCTCAGTGGCAAAAAGGGTGTTAACTGGAGTCATCTATTCACAGAGTTTGGCCAACTTGGTTTCATTTAGTGACAATTACATGGCGTATATTCTCTTGTTTCGTTCTTTTGCCCAACTCAAACCGGGTTAGCCAAACTCTCCAAAAGAATGGCTCTGACTTGAACGGTTCAATTCCCTTTTAACCCTCAGCATGCAATGACATAGGATACCCGCCTCCAACCGTTGGAGTAGCTCGGTTAACGCATGTGATATCAGGGAAAAAGGACTCAAGACAAGACGGAAAAGAACAACGTATTAAATATTTTTGTATAATCCAATCATTTTGGTTTAATGGTATTTGTTCTTGATTTGAATGATTGCTTAGTTATCTGAATTCAAGATTCAAGATAATTTATTGTGAGAGAGAGAGAGAGAGAGACAAGTCGCATGGAGTAGAAAAGAAGGAGGAAATGAGAGGGAGAGAAGGTGACAGAAAGCGAAGAGCTCTGGGAGGGAAGAGATGAGGTAAAGAGTACAGGCTATCAAGAACAAGAATGTATTTATTTGAATGATTGTTTTGTGTTGGAATGAGAGGTGTGTGTATAAGAAATTGTATGAAAAATAGAAAAGTATTGTCTGTTTGAAGCCACAATTGCTTAAGGGGCAAGTCCATCCCGGAGAGTATATTATTATTATTATTGTTATTATAGGTCCTCTAAAAAGAAAAGACCATCCCAAGTCATACATTTTTTATTTATTCATTTATTTCTTGTTAATATATATTTCATGTATTAATTGTACATTTACTTGACAAACAAAAATCATACAAAAACATTCAGAGCAGTTATACTGCAGAATCATATACAAACATATCACTTGAATGAAGCACATATTTGAACTTACCAAACTACAAGTTAACTGAATGCATATGCATACAAAGTAAGTGATCTTATAGTTTCATACGAATTAGACTAAATCATGATTGTATTACAAATATTACAAAAATTAAAATGCATGTACATGTATTTTTAAAATACTGATATTTATATTTGCACGTTTCGATATGCCTAAAAATTCAGGGAATGTGAATTACAAAATACTTATACATCGTTTTGATTTAAAAACTTGTTTAACTAATCGACCATACTTGCAAAAGTTCAAGAAACCTGTATAAAAGCAAATAAATTTGAAAGCTTTTGAAGCTTTTTTTAAAAACTAAACAAACAAGTGGTTTGTTGGCGCTGTGGGCTAATCCCAACTCCCTGCTAAACCTAAGCATCCAATCGGCTGCATGTATGTGTGCTCCATTTAGTATTTAATACAGATGGACATTTAACAATTCACTACTTGCATTAACTTCAGTAAAAAACATGCATCAAATGCATTAAAACATTTTCATAACAAAATTACTGCAATAAACCACCACCAACTTAAAAATCTTAGGAATGTATATTTCTCATTTACAGATGGAATAATTTCAAAGTCAGTTGCATGAGAGAATGAAAGATCTGAAATGAATGCAGAACGAGCCAGCATGTAAACTACTTTTATGCTTTCTTAGCAGTCAGGTAAAATAACCACCACCACCACTTTTCTTGATACAGATATATTTATACTTGTATGTGTATCAGGGGGATTCCTGAAAATGAAGTAAATAAATACATATTTATACTTTATAGCATACGTACATGTATAATATACATACCTCCTGCCTTACAAAACTACAAAGAAAGTAGATGTAGCAAGACATTTTTTTTCCTTAAAAGATGGATTAATCATTGGACCTGTTTTCATCAGCTTCAGTTTGCCAAATAACTCTCTACTTTAACTGTCCCGATCGCAAATTAACCAGTTGCAATCAGCGGGATATTTAATCGAGAAAATATATCCCAAGAAAGCTTGGTCTTGTTTAAAAAATATCCCGCTATTTGGGAAGTAGTGAGCTAATGTGCGCTCGTCTGAGCTAATTTGTGATGAGCGTATTGGTCTGGTGAAAATGCGATTTCGAGCTTCGGGATAATATCCCGAGTCTGGAAATAGCGGGTTATTTGGTAAACTCGAGCTGATGAAAACAGACCTATTGCGTTATTTTTAGAGTAGTTGATAAAATAAGCCGATGATGAGAATCAGTCCCACGTTGACTGCATTTTTCCGGTTGATGCTTGGACTAGATGCCGTGGTCGGAGCTGCAGTTTCTATACAAACAGGCAAAAAAGACAACGATGGTGTGAATTGTATATTTTAAATTTTCTCTCTTTCTGAATCTCTCTATCTCTCATTTCCTTTATCCTCATCTCTCCAGTCTTTATCAATCTCTCCATTTCTCTATTTGTTTGTCTTTTCCAATCTACAAATCTATCTATCTATGTTTCTCTCTTTTAAATTTACCAATCTCTTTCTCTCTTTCTTTCTACAAATCTGTCCTCCAATATACCAATCTCTATTTCAATCTCTTCTTAAATCTAGCGATCTCTCTTTCTGTTTTCTCTCTCTCTCTCTCTCTTTCAATCTAACAATCTCTCTTTCTCTGTTTCTATCTTTCTCTGTTTCTATCTCTCTCTCTCTCTCTCTGTTACTATCTCTCTTACTCTCTCTCTCTCTCTCTCTCTCCCATCTCTCTCTCTCTCTCTCTCTCTCTTTCTCTCTAATATCTTACCTGGAGCCTCATTTACATAATAGAAAGCCTCCATGCCAGCAGTCATGTGATCGTTGACATGGCAATGAAGAAGCCACACGCCTGGGTCATCGGGGTCATCTCCAGGGTGAGGAAAGTTCCTGTAGGCATTTTCAAAAGGAGAAAGTGTCATATTTTTTTTTTTTTCTAAATAGAATAATGAACCAAATGAATGTGCAGTGTATACATGGATTGACAAAAAATTTCAAAATGATTTCCTTTTTTAAGAAAAAAAAGTTCCAAAAGTAGACAAGAGGTATTCCTGTGAATTTTTCAACATTTTGACAAAATTTGAACTATAAAAAGGATTAAATTCTAAAGATGTGACCGTGATTTGTATGTCCCAGACCAATGCCAGAAATGGTGAGAGCAGCCAGTGGCATAAATGGCCTACCATAGTTCAAGTCCAACTGAAGTCGATCTTTGTCTTTGGGAAACACCCGATTCCCCCCCCCCCCCCCACCCATCCCCCCCCCCCCCCCCCCCCCCCCCACCCATAAAATCATATATTCTTCATATTTAAGCATTCATTTTCATATATTCTTTAGACCATTTAGAATAATAATACAACAATTTTTTTGGAAGAGTCAGTTTTTGTGAAACACCACAGTCCCCCCCCCCCCCCCCCCCCCCCCCCCCCCCCTGACTGTGAATTAATTATGTCTAACCTGGGAAAAGTTCTGAGACATCCAATCTGTTTGTATGCTCGGTCTGGTAGGTGAAGGTGTGTCCATGGAAGTGAACCGTGTGAAGATCCACCTCGTCTCCGAGACCAAGTAGATTCCATGCGACACGCTCTCCAACCTCCATCTCAAGGTGGTCGAGGTTGTTGAACAGCAAGCCGTTGATTCCTGGAAAGGGAACATTGAGGCATGAGAAGAAGAAGGAGGAGGAGGAGGAGGAGGAGGAGGAGGAGGAGGAGGAGGAGGAGGAGGAGGAGGAGGAGGAGGAGGAGGAGGAGGAGGAGGAGGAGGAGGAGGAGGAGGAGGAGGAGGAGGAGGAGGAGGAGGAGGAGGAGGAGGAGGAGGAGGAGGAGGAGAAGGAGAAGAGGAAGAAGAAGAAGAAGAAGAAGAAGAAGAAGAAGAAGAAGAAGAAGAAGAGAAGAAGAAGAAGAAGAAGAAGAAGAAGAAGAAGAAGAAGAAGAAGAAGAAGAAGAAGAAGAAGAAGAAGAAGAAGAAGAGAAGAAGAAGAAGAAGAAGAAGAAGAAGAAGAAGAAGAAGAAGAAGAAGAAGAAGAAGAAGAAGAAGAAGAAGAAGAAGAAGAAGAAGAAGAAGAAGAAGAAGAAGAAGAAGAAGAAGAAGAAGAAGAAGAGAAGAAGAAGAAGAAGAAGAAGAGAAGAAGAAGAAGAAGAAGAAGAAGAAGAAGAAGAAGAAGAAGAAGAAGAAGAAGAAGAAGAAGAAGAAGAAGAAGAAGAAGAAGAAGAAGAAGAAGAAGAAGAAGAAGAAGAAGAAGAAGAAGAGAAGAAGAAGAAGAAGAAGAAGAAGAAGAAGAAGAAGAAGAAGAAGAAGAAGAAGAAGAAGAAGAAGAAGAAGAAGAAGAAGAAGAAGAAGAAGAAGAAGAAGAAGAATAGGCTTTTATATATCGCCGTCAATCTAGACTAGATAATTCTATTCCGAGGAAAACAAATTCATTATTACCCCGGCTTTAGCATAGCTGCCATTACAGTACTCTAGCATTACAAGAAATTAATTCCTGCCAGGTACCCATTTACCTCACCTGGGTCGAGTGCTACAAATGTAGATTAATGCCTTGTCAAAGGACATTAGTGCCGTGTCGGGGATCGAACCATGACCTTTGAATTTGAAGTCAAGTGCTTGAACCACTGGGTGGTTTGCACATAGGGGAGGGTAAATGGTGAGAGCAAACGATGGCGTGAATGGCCTGGCATAGTTAAGTCCAACTTAAAGTCGATCTTAGTCTTTGTGAGAAAAAAAACCTGGATACCATCTCCTTACCATGCATGAGGTTGCTCTCTTGAAAGTCCCCGTCACTGACATCCACCGCCGTTGGTGTCAAACAGTAATGATCAATGTTCTGTTGTAGATACCAACTCTTATTCTCATCTGTCACTGAGAAGAACAGGTTGAACTCTTTTTCAACATCCATCCTCCTTCCATCAGCATCTTGAATATGGGAGAAAAAGAATATAACAAGTTAAAGATGAAGATGAGTTCTGGTCATGCGATTGCATTGTGAAAGAAACGGTGTGGAATCGATCAGAAGAGGTTGATCATCTAGCATATGAATTGGTGCGTACTGCAAGGTTCTGGAATCATCAAAATGATAAGAAATTTGGCACAGTCTTGGTAAAGTTACAAGCACTATGCACACAGAAAGATGTATATGGGACTATGCGATATCTATCCAGTCCGGATAGATGTAATAATTTACCAAATATATTAATTCGTAGGCGGTTTCCCGGCAAAATTTGTATCATCACGTATTAGTCAAAACATATTCTTTCACATGATTGCTAATATGAGCTTCCATTTCATTTTTGAGAGGGGGGAGTTTCCAAAACTGGTCTATACCTATAGTCACCATGGTACAGTCACTTGCTTTAGCAAATACTACAAACGTGTTCTTGACTTCTTGAGGGAAACAGTATAGACCAGAGTTTGGGGGCCTCGATAAACGAGCCCCTTCCTTCACGTACATGTTTAATCCTAAAAAAGACTGAGTGCCAATTGCAAGATGGCCCCAAGAAAATTATGTGGTTATACTTTGCAGCATGTAAATTTAAGTTTCTCACTATATGGTTTATAACCTTGATCTCTGAAGTCAATGTATCTGTGGCCTACATGGCACATAAAAGGGTTCTCACAGTTTTCAAAAGAGAAATGATCAAGATTAAAGTCTCTGACAAGCAAAACAAAATTCTGAGAATTTGTCATTGTTTTCATTGTGAAGGGAAGTATAATAATGTAGAAGTAGTAGTAGAAGTAATAGTAGTAGTAGTATTAGTAGTAGTAGTAGTAGTAGTAGCAGTAGAAGTAGTAAAGTAGTAGTAGAAGTAGTAATAATAGTAGTAGTAGTAGTCGTAGTAGTAGGAGTAGTAGTATCAGTAGTAGTAGTAGTAGTAGTAGCAGGAGTAGTAGAAGTAGTAGTAGTGGTACTATTATTATTGATATTTCTATTATTATTATTATTATGATCATTATCATTATCATCATCTTCACCTAAGTTGCCTTTCTTGCAGATGACAAGTGGCCCAACCAGACCTGCGTTGGTGTCCTTCCCTCTGTGTATACTGGAATAATAAACAGATGCCGTACACGACACATCGCTATCGGTCGGCGCTCGCGACTCGGGGACAGTCCAAGTATACGTCTTTGTCTCTCCCGGCAGGACCGGCATGTCGCTCGTGGACCTGTCACCATATGTAGCGCCCTCATTGTCTTTATCAGACAGAAGGTTCTGAGGGTGGACGCTGTAAGGCTTGGTGGCTAGATTCTTGAAGACAACCTGGAGCGTGTCGCCGACTTCAACGCGGATGACCGGACCGAGGATACCGAGCGCTTTGTCCTCGTTCGTGGTGCGCTCCACCTGTATGATAAAACTGTCATCTACGTACTCCCTATAGATGGCTTTGCGGTACCTGCTGCCGATGCTCGTGTTTCCACGATTGACGAAGACGAAGCCCGGACTGAAATTCAGAATAGATAAGGTAAGATATAATTAGTGTACCTTGTGCAGGTCATCTTCGGCACACAAGCAAGAGGAACGTGTCAGCAAGCACTTCTCGCAACATATGCACTCGAACAGAACAACTTAAAAGACAGTATGATTTTGTTGTACAAATGAACATTTTTGTGCAATATACATGAATGCCTAAATGTAAATTAAAAAAATTATGTTAATACAGGTACTAAAACCAATGGGGGTAGGGGGTAGGGGGCAGGGAACATGCACCTTTTAATTAGAGGAAAATGAATTTTGACTTTACAAAGCTACTGAAACGACTGACTAGTAAATGTTGCAAGGGGAGGAGGTGTAAAGGCATCATCCCTTCTCCCTTCCCCTTCCTCTTTCTCTCAATTTTTTTTTCATCACTCAATTGGGGGAGGGGGGGGCACATGCTTTCACTACGCCACTGACTGAGCATACCTATCCTCATCGGTCAAGGCCTGGCTCCGGACGGGGTCGTACACGCGAGGCGTGAAGTCCCACTCCATTTCTATCGCTGCGATGTAGTGCGTTCTGACGGTGCCACTGTCTGTCACCTCAGGCGAATTAGAAACGCCCCCCGGGTTTACTGTGTAGACTGCCGTCATTCCCTGAGCAAAGTGGGTGTTGGTTTCACACTCAATTAACCATGTCCCTGTTTTGCAAAGAAACAACAACAACAACAAAAAGAAGAGAAGTGAGAAACGATCATCAACTATAAATAAAATATTCTAAAACCACTCAAAAAATAGTGAAAAACAGCCCAGAATATTTTTTCTTTCTATTTCTAATCTGAAATACAAAATTTTTGTTTCAAATCTTTAGCCTAAAAATTTGTTTTTTGTCTATTTCCTCTTTTTTCCCCATTTGAAAAAAGAGGAAAATGGTCTTATTTTCTAGGAATTACCATGAAAATATAGAAAAGATAGCACCAATTTTTTTTTTAATTATTGCACGTGAAAAACAACCAGGGAGGGACCATTAACATATTGAAAAGACATGTTGGAAAAGCAGTCCAATAGTTAGAATAGATGGAACAGTGCACAAAATATATCCTGCTGAGCTGGTGGTTCTAGGGAGCTCTTTGATATAATGTTGTTCTAGGAGTGACATTTCCTTAAAGTTGTTTCTATGTGCAATTTATTTTGTTGTTTTGCAAGAGGTTGTTACTTTTAAATAAGTTTTCCTGACCCTTTTCTTGGAGCTTCAGAATAATGAATCATTGTTTATTTATTTATTAATTTATGCATGCTCAAAATTTCACAATTCATTGGAGTTGACATCACATGAAAAAGAATATAATATAACAAATCATTTTCAATATCATAATCCATTTGAATTGACTTCACATGAAAAGGAATATAACAATGTTTTATCAAAGACAAGTTGCAACTAATATACAGTTTAAAGAATGAACACACAAAGGTGATGAAACATAAGCATAGAGCCTGAATCGTTACTACAACTTTCAAATATATAATATATGACAAATAAAATTCCTCAAGGGTTGTGAACTATTTACACTATTTACAAAGAACAAGAAAAAAAGGATATTGTTAAGTCTAGTAAAATGTCTTTTGGATCATAAAATAATTAAGTTTATGTTTGATATAATGAGAACTGATATATAGATTTATATATATGTCAGTAATATCTTACATCTGTGAAATGATAATACATTTGAGTGATAGCCTGCAAAGCCTTTTGAAGATAATTTTTGTCAACATGGATCTACTGTATGAGAATCGGTCCAGGGTATGACATATATAGTATTCTAATATCAATTCTACTTAAACTTTGACAATCTTACCATTAATGCAATCATTTAAATTAATCAAACAATGATATGTTGAAAACTATCTACTCTATGAGATGTAACCTCAGCCATGGCATATTTTAATCTTAAATCGACCTTTGACCTTTGACCATTCTTACCTGGGTTGTCAGGGACGGTCATGATCGTCTGGGCGATACCAGGGAAGAGGGGCACGGCATCGACCCTACGACCTTCGAGCACAAAGGTCAGCTGGTGGAAGTAGGCAGTGTGTTGGTCAGTGTCCTTGCCCAGGTCCATGACATGCCAACTGACCTTCTCACCTGCGGTCATCTCTACGGCCGGCAGGTTGGCAAAGGAATAACCATTGATGCCTGTATGGATAGCATGGAACGATTGCTATCATTAACTTTTTATTAAATATGGATTAAATCTGTTTGTAATTCATTCAAAATTCAATTTGTTTGTAATTCATTCAAAATTCAATTTGGAACTTGTAACTCATGAAAATCATTGAAATACAAAATATAATAATGTTAAAATGCGTATTTGTAGAAGTAGAGGGGGAATGAAGAGGAGAAGGATATAGTTCTTCAGGAACGGTAGGAGGAATTTATTTATTTGGGAGGGGGAGGAGGAGGAGGGAAGAGAAGGAGGAGGAGGGATGAGAAGAAGGAGGAGGAGGAGGAGGAGGAGGGATGAGAAGAAGGAGGAGGAGGAGGAGGAGGAGAAGGAGGAGGAGGAGAAGGAGGAGGAGGAGGAGGGAAGAGAAGAAGGAGGAGGAGGGATGAGAAGAAGGAGGAGGAGGAGGAGGGATGAGAAGAAGGAGGGAGGAGGAGGAGGAGGAGGAGGGAAGAGAAGGAGGAGGAGGAGGAGGAGGAGGGAAGAGAAGAAGGAGGAGAAGGAGGAGGAGGAAGAGGAGGAGGAGGGAGGGAGGAGGAGGGGAAGAGGGGAAGTAAGAGGGGAAGGAGAAGGGGGAGGGGAAGGAGAAGGGGAAGGAGAAGGAGAAGGGGAAGGAGAAGAGGAAGGAGGAGGAAGAGGGAAGAGGAGAGGAAGTAGAGTAAAAGCAAATGTAACTCACTAGTCATGAGATTAGAAGCGACAAAATCATCATCTTCTGGGTTAGCACCTGGAGCAAAGTCTGCAATGTTCTGATCAAGATACCAGCTCTGATTCTCATCGAAGATCAGGAAGAGCAGGAAGAACTCTCGGTCAACCCCAATCTGTAAGCAGAACAACATATACGCATCATACGTGAAGTTAATGTCTTTTTAAAAAACATCATTGTATGAAGGAAGTGTGTGAAAAAGACAAAAAGACACAAAGATAGAGAGAGAGAGAGAGAGAGAGAGAGAGAGAGCAATGGAAGCAAGTTAATGGTCTTTATAGACATGTGGTCTTTCTATACAGTGCATTGCTACAAAGGGTTTATTTTAAAAAGGAATACAAACCATTTTAGTAATTGGACTCGATACCCTTTGGAATCAAATATTAAAAAGTAATAAAATGATCTTTTCATCCGGAGTAGCACCATCAGTAAGGCAGTATAAATATTCCTATATAAAGTGGGAACTGCAATTATTATCACCCCATCATTACCAGGTACCCATTCCATTCACCTGGGTCAAGAGAGGCAAATGAGGGAGAAACACCTTGTCCAAGGACGTAAGCACTGAGCAAGGATCAACACCAAGGAATTCTACTACAGTCAAACCTGTCTATAGCGACCACCCAAGGGAAACACAAAAAGTGGTCTTTGTAGACAGGTGGTCTTTGTAGATAGGTTCCTTTAGTACATGTTTCAATGAGAAACCATTTTCAAGGGAAACAAAACATGTGGTCTTTATAGACAGGTGGTCTTTGAAGACAGGTGGTCACTAAAGCAGGTTTGACAGTACAAGAGTCAAGATCCTTCATCGATATACCACAGTGCTTGCACAACTCTTGATATCCACAAGATAGTCTTCAAGCGGGACTGCACTACTTGTAGTTAATTGCGCCCTCTATATAAACGGTACCTGTTGATCCCCCATGGTCCCTGTTTTCTTATGTTAATTGAGAGCTAATTTGATGAGATACCTGCCAGTGACCACGCAGCGAGGTCTAATCCCTCCTGAACTAGTGCAGATAGGCTTTAAAATAAATAATGCAATGATAGACAGACATATAGGCCTAGGAGATGGGTATTTTTTTTAACTGTGAGTTAATTCTTACCCGGTTTCCATCAGCGTCCAAAGTCCCCTCCTTGCAGATCAGCATAGGTCCGACGAGACCGGAATACAGGTCCATCGTTTCATCTGTTCCTGACGTGTACACCATGGTCAGACAGTCTGGGTCCAGATCCGTTGGTCCTATGGACTGGGGGATAGTCCAGGTGTACGTGAAGGTGGCGTTTGGGGCTACGGAGCCATCAGCCTGCTCAGCCTCTGGGAGATGGAAAGAGATGAGGCAGCAGTTTATAAAGACTGATACCGTTCAAACCATTGGATACAAGCTGTCCATTTTTTCTTCTTCTCATGTTTTTCTTCAATGAATTAAAACATGAAAAACATACTGCTAAAATTATCTTTTTCTGATTTAAAAAAAAGAAAAAAAGAAATTACCGGCGGCCATCTCGAAAAATAGCCCAACTGTCAGGAAAAATTTTGAAGAAGAAAAAAAAAGAAGGAAAAAAGGACCTCCTCCTTCCTATTTTTCAAAAAGGCAGGACGTTAAACATGTTTTTTTTTATTTGGCCTAATCAGAGACCTAGATTCTTCATACATCGGTAACTAAATTAGTCATTCCCGTAGCGAAATTGCTGTTTTTTTGTTTTTTGTACGCAACTCAAAAATGATAGGCGGACTAGTTGAATTAGGGGCAATTGTTGAATACTTTTAAATTTAAGCTTTAATATGTCACATTCTCAAGATGCATAAATTGGGACAAATCGCAACTAATCTTAAGTTGAACTTATCTCTAAGTTGGACTTAACAATTATGGAAAGCCGTTAGCATCTATGAAAATATTTTGCAAAAGTTATTTTAAAAGGCATAAAATGTTGATTCAAATCTTTCATATTTTCTATTATCGTGGGAGATTTCATGTTCTTGATGTGCAATTTATAAAAAAAATCTAAAATACTTGATTTTCGCTTTTGAATATATTTAATTTTTAGGCTGCAAATGGCTCTCCATAATAGTTAAGTCCAACTTAGAGTTAAGGTCAACTAAGGATCTTTGTGAAACACCCCCTTGGTAAGGGTATGAATAATTCAATTGTTAACTGTATGCATTATATAACGATGAACTTTCCTGTCTCCTAACTTACATACCTGCCAACATTTGAAAACGAGAATAAAGAATTTTTAGCACGGTATGTCTTCAAAAATAAGAAATCTGTACCCTTAACGGGCGTAATTCGCACATGCAGCGGCAGTGTAACTGGCAATACGCGGTAAATCTGTGCAAAAAAGCAAATACAAATTCGCTGCTCAATCATGCAGCCCTTCAACGCACATCACGGCATATGATAAAACAAGCTTAATTTGGCTTAAGCAACGCAAAACAAAAAAAAATAGATAAATAAAAAAAAAATAAATAAATAACTAAATAAATAAAATGAAAAAATTAAAAAAAATAGAAATTTTGAAAATCTGGAATATTCCGGATTTTGGGGTCCTAAAAATCCAGAAAAACAGAATATTCTTGATTATTCGGAAGGGTTGGTAGGTATGAACTTACCATCTGTACCGTCCACGTAGTTGGAACCCTCATTGGCTTTATCATAAAGCACGCCTCTGGGATGGATGCTGTGCGGGACACGCCCGGTGTTCTTGAACGTCACCCGGATGGTATCCCCGACCTCGCCCCGAATGACCGGGCCTAGGACACCCATGTGATGGTCATCTGCGGTCCTCACGATCAGTTTGTCGGGCGTGAAGTCGCCGTCGGAGTACTGGACGTACCTGGCCTTCAGGTAGGTTCCGGGGATGCGGTTTGGGGTGTCGGTGAAGAAGGGGAATGACTCGCTGGAATGGTTAGAAATTGGAAACAGAAACTGACTAATGGGGTGTTGAAAGAAAGTGGCAATGAATTGCAAATCCCCAAAATCAAGCGTAGGTCGATCTTGCGATTAGTTGCAAATTCGCAATTGATCGCAACTGAACTTTGTTGCAACACCCCATAAGAGAGAGAGAGGGTGGGGGAGAATAAAAGCTAGATCTAGTTAGCTTAATTTAATTTTTTAAACTATAATCCTACCAAAATCCTGGGAAATTTAGGAGACCAGTGGGGCGTTGTAAGAAAGTTGAGTTGCAATCGATTGCAAATATCAGTTGAAAATTTTGCAACTTGTAATCAATCGCAACTTTCTTGCAACGCTCCATAAGTTTGACAGGATAAATACACTGTATTTATTATGTTTATAGACAAAGAAATGCAATGCCTTCCTTCTTTCATTCTATTACAAATTCGTTCCTAAATTGTAGAGTTATAGATGTCGCTGACTAACTGAATCAATCACGATTCTTTACAAGAAAATGTTTGCACATCAGGTACACAGTGCACTACAGAGGGCGACAAACAATTCACATCATTTAATCCTGTTCCTACTCTTTTTCTCTTTCTTCTATTGAGTCTTACCTTTCGGGATCAGTCAAATCTCTTCCATCCAGTCCGTTTATTTCATCAGGGCCATAATGCCACACACTCTCTGAGATGCCTATGAAGTAGTCCCTCGTCTGTCCTGCAAGGGGTTCCTCATCCGCTCCTGGACCACAGTCAGAGTTGACCGTGTAGAGAACCTGGGAACCAGCTTCATGAAACGAGAGCATTTGATTTGATTAAAGCCTATCTGCACTAGTTTGGCCAGGAGGGATTAGAACACTCTGCACGGTCACTGACCAGTAGTTATATCTCATCAAATCAGCTCTCAATTAACATAAGAAAAAGGACCATGGGAGACCAATGGTCACAGATTACCGGTAGGCATTGTTTGCTATGTAGAGGGTGCAAGTAGCTACAAGTACAGTCCTGCTTTAAAAGAGGAGTCATAATTTCGAATGTCTCAAGAAATATCATTTCTAAAAGAAATTCATAATCTTCATGGCGCTGAATAGTGACATAGTGACATGAAACAACCAAAACAAACAGAAAAAATTGGATAGATTTTCTATGAGTGCTATGGGAACAGCTAGACAGGAGGGTCTGAGAAGTTGCCCAACGAGTAACATTTGTGGGAGATCCTTCAGAGGCATTTCCTGTGACTACCTCCACAAGTTAACCATCTAGATGCCCAGGGTGTGCCGGGCTGTGGGCGCGATGGGGGCGGGAAGTCTTTACAAATGAAGCAAGATTGAACAACCAAAACAAACAGAATCAATTAATTAGATAGATTTTCTATCAGTGTTATGATTGATTGATTGATTGGTGATTAATGCATTGAGTGATTGAATTGATGAACTTCAATAGGGACTTTTAGATTGAGTGGACGAGAACACGACGAACGCCGACTGATCATGCATGTCAAAGTACTTAACTGTGCATGTTGACTACAATTAGAAATCTTTTAGATTGCACTCGACGATATACATGCATGCAGGAAGTAACACTCTAAACAACACGGACAAAGAAAGAGGACAAAATATACAGTTCCTCATTCTACCCCCAACAAAAGAACATCCCTTCACTGCTATTATGTAAAAATGTGTATAGAACAAGTGAATATGCATGTGACACCTGTTCTACACATTGTTACATAATAGCAGGGAAGGGATGTTCCTTTGTCTACCTGAGGAACTGTATATTTTATGCGCACGCGGCATACTAGTACCTTGAGCACGTAAAGGCGCTATATGAATATCAATATGTATGTATGTATGTACTAGATTTAGGAAATCAAGGTTGACGCATTCTCGATCGCCGACTGAGACGACGTAACGCATGCGCAGTGCCTTAAAATGACGTCACACGTTGCAGTCAAAGCTGTTGACGTGCAAATCTAAAAGTCCCTATTGTCGCATCAGCGAGGCTGATCAAGGGTGAAAAATATTCACTATCATGTATTTTGCAATGTGCACAACCATAACACTATATAAAGAGGAGAGGACATTTACTCAGGGATTGGGGATTACTGTTCCAGGTGTTCTTTTAATATGCGCTTCCTGCTGGCAGAACGCAGGAAGCACCTTGTAAAACAAACAAAAAATACTTTGAGCCTGAAGAGTTTGTGTAATTCCTTGAAGTCAAAGTTCAGTTACTATCTAAGACAGAACTTCCTGAAAGGATGATCAGTGTATCCTGGTTGGTAGACAGATAAAAAACTTTATCACGTTCCACCTGATTTTAGTGGTCCTAAGAGGACACCTTATTTGAAGTGAAATAAAAAGGGTTTTTTTTTTTTTTTGTGATGGTGATTCTTTGATAATGTTCACCACTCCGGAAGTGTACAGTATCACCTTGCATGTTCCATAAATTTCCTATGTTGTGTTAGAAATGTTTAATTACTATATTTGTTATTTAAAGGCCCAGAAACATTCTCTTAATACAATAATACTATCTAAGACCATATTCAAGAAGTTTTATTCATATTTTGTCTTTTTAAACCAGAACCTCGTTCATCAACTTTTGATTACATGCTGATGATACTTGGACAATTTAATAATTTATCAATTGTGCATTTTTATCATAACTTATATTTATAATAAGTCACACTTTGCAATATTGTATTCAAAATATTTCTTCATGTGTTATTTATCTCTGTTTTCATAACCTTTGCTTCTTATTATGTTCATTATGCGTTCAATATGAACTTATTGAGTGGGTAAATATTTTATTCATATTCTTTTTATTGTGCAGGGCCTACACTGAGGGATAGCAGATTGTTAACTGAAGAGGCAACCCTGCACAAAATAATACTTAGATAATTAAATTTAAAAAATAATACATACCAGTTTGGTGAGTGACGACATGAGATTTAGCAAGCCATGTACCGGGGTTGATAGCCACCATGTCAGCTGATGATATTACAGCCGGAGTCAAGCTGAGAGTATCCACACGGTGGTTGCGGAGCTCCTAAATATTAAACCAAGATTATGTAAATTAAACAAATAACAACTGTATTCAAAGTGTAAACAATTGCAAATTAGTCCTATCACTTTGTACTATAGATAAATAAAATTGAACAGGAAAATTATTAAATAACCAAAATTATGTAAATAAAAATATAACAACTATATTCGATGTGTAAACAATTGCACATTAGTCCTATCATTTGTGTAATAATTAAATACAATTGAACAGGAAAATTATTCAATAACCAAGATTATCTAAATAAAAAAATAATAACTATAATATTCAATGCGTAAACAATTACAAATTAGTCCTATCACTTTGTACAATAAATAAATACAATTGAGCAGGAAATTATTCAATAACTAAGATTATGCCAATAAACAAAATTATAACTATATTCAATTCTCCCTCTCTCTCACATGGGGCACCAGCAAGCCTACTGTATATATTTAATGTGTTAAAAATTGCAAAATTAGTCCTATCACTTTGTTAAATAAATAAGTACAATTGAACAGGAAAATCATGAACAAGTTTTCCATTGCATCTCTTTCTCTCCCTTTTGTCAATCTTTATCTCTATCTCTCTATCTCTCTCTCTCTCTCTCTCCATCTCTCTCTCCCCTCTCTCTCCATCTCTATCTCTATATCTTTCTCTTTCTCTCCCTCTCTCTATATCGCTCTCTCTCTCTCTCTCTCTCTTTCTCTCTCTCTTTCTCTCTATCGCTCTCTTTCTCTCTCTCTCCTTCTTGCTTCCTCTTATGCCCTCGAATTCATGTAATGATCTTCATTTCCTAAACACTCCATACTGTTTTGACTTCTTCATTTTGACCACCTCCCTTACCAGTACGTTGCCATGGAAGTTGACCGTATGGACGTCGATCTCCGTTCCGACGCCCATGATGTGCCAGGCCACCTTATCTGATTGACAGATCTCCAATCCTGGCAGAGCTCCGTACAGATAGCCATTCACGCTGTCCATCCTGTTACTCTCCAAGAAATCCTCATCCTCTGTTCGGCATTTAGGTCACGGTGGAGGTGGAGGGGTAAATATGGATCAAGGGGAGTGGTGGAGGGGTGGAAGAGATGGGGTAGAAGAATATAGGAGTGGTGGAGGGGTGGTAGAAATGGGGTAGAAGGGTATAGGAGTGGTGTATGGGTAAACATAGATCAAGGGGAGTGGTGGTAGAGATGGGGTAGAAGGGTATAGGAGTGGTGGAGGGGTGGTAGAGATGGGGTAAAAGGGTATAGGAGTGGTAGAGGGGTAGTAGAGATGGGGTAGAAGTAGAAGGGTATAGAAGTGGTGGAGGGGTAAACATAGATCAAGGGGAGTGGTGGTAGAGATGGGGTAGAAGGGTATAGGAGTGGTGGAGGGGTGGTAGAGATGGGGTAGAAGGGTATAGGAGTGGTGGAGGGGTGGTAGAAATGGGGTAGAAGGGTATAGGAGTGGTGTATGGGTAAACATAGATCAAGGGGAGTGGTGGTAGAGATGGGGTAGAAGGGTATAGGAGTGGTGGAGGGGTGGTAGAGATGGGGTAGAAGGGTATAGGAGTGGTGGAGGGGTAGTAGAGATGGGGTAGAAGGGTATAGGAGTGGTGGAGGGGTAGTAGAGAAGGGGTAGAAGGATATAGGAGTGGTGGAGGGGTGGTAGAGATGGGGTAGAAGGGTATAGGAGTGGTGGAGGGGTAGTAGAGATGGGGTAGAAGGGTATAGGAGTGGTGGAGGGGTGGTAGAGATAGGGTAGACGGATATAGGAGTGGTGGAGGGGTGGTAGGGATGGGGTAGAAGGGTATAGGAGTGGTGGAAGGGTGGTAGAGATGGGGTAGAAGGATATAGGAGTGGTGGAGGAGTGGTAGAGAAGGGGTAGAAGGGTATAGGAGTGGTGGAGGGGTAATGTAGCGATGATGGCGGGGTAATGTAGGAGCATTTTAGGGGTAATACATGAGTGACAGAGGGGTAATAAAGTATTGGTTCAGATGTAATAGAGGTATGGTAGAGGGGTAATGTAGGAATGGTTGAGGGGTAATATAAGAGAGGTGGAGGGGCAATATAGGAGAGGGTGGGGTTAAAAAGGAGCAGGGGAGGGGTAACATAGGAGTTAGTAGGTGTACAGATGTGGATCAGGGGTAAGAGAGAAAAAGGTGGTGGAGGTAATATAGGAGAAGCGGATAGGTAATATGGGGTAAAGGAACAGTGGTGGAGAGGTAATAGAGGAGTGGTGAGGGTAATTTAGGGAGTGGCAGAGGGGTTGAATGGGGTAGTGGAGGTGTAGTATATGAGTGGTCAGTGGAATGGTAGCAAAGGAAAAAAAAGAGAGATTCATATCATTACAAGTTACCAAAGGATAAACATTTCACATATTCTCTTTCTCCCTCTCGTCTTGCATCCTCTATCTCTCTCTCACTTACATCCATAAGAGTTCTTAAGTGGTTTTCTCGTTTAACTTTCTATCTTTAGAACTGGTCTAAAGAAATTTACAACTTTCCACAAGCTTCTTCTTTTTTGTTAATTCAAAATAATTTTACCTGAACAATAGCTTACTAAAATAAGGAATTAGTCGACACTGCTATACAATCTCTATGGAAGCCGGAAACCTTGTCTGTATTGTCTTCCCCAATATTGTATCTGCACATGTGCTGGCCTGCGCATTATGGGAGGAAGGTCGCAATTTACTGTTGAACGTCATATTTGCAGTAGGGTCAATTGTCAGGGGTGATAGTGAGAACTAAAAATTAAAAAGTTTTTTTTTCCTCAACCAAACCCCCCCCCCCCCCCCCCCTCCTTGATTAAAAAAATAAAAAGGATTCAGGAAAGAAAAAAATGGCATCTAACAACATTCCTCCCTTTTGAGTAAGAAAATTGGGAAAAAATAGGAGAAAAATAGGGAAAAATAGGAAAAAATAGGGGAAATAAGGGTAAAATCAGGGAGAAAAAAAAAATTGATTTAAATCTGGTAATTATCAGGCCTGATTGTACAAACCTGGGTCTGAATCTGCGGCAAACCTTTCAATATTGTCATCGATATAATAGCTCATATTCTCATCGGTCACAGTAAACATGAGGATGAAGTCCTCAGCCACATCGGTCCTTCGATTGTTTTCATTCAAAATTCCTGGAAATTGAGAAGAAGAAAATGGTGAATGAAAAAAAAAATGTTCAAGTCTTGATATTAACCAGACCGAAGTTGCAAAATAACCCGCCATTTTCAGACTCGGGCCATTTTCAGACTCGGAATATTTTCCTGAAGCTCGAAATTGGGTTTTCACCAGACCGATACACTCATCACAAACTAGCTCTGACAGGCGCAAATTAGCCCACTTTTTCCCAAATAACTGGCTATTTTGGAAACAAGACCACGATTTCTTGGGATATTATCTCAACCAAATAGCCTGCTAATTGCAACTGCGGGCTGATGAAGACGCAAATTAGCTGGCCAATTCGAGATCGGGCTAGTTAAAATAGCGGGTTATTTGCAACTTCGTTCTGATGAAAACAGGCCTTTACAATCTTGTTTATCAATGAAACAAGAGGGGAAAGCTCTGTTTAAATACACAAGAAATAAATGTCTGATGAAGATTACAGCCTATATTCCTGTTTGCATAATGTCCTTTGGCAAGGCATTAATCTACATTTGCCCCACCTCACCCAGGTGAGGTAAATGGGTACCCAGTAGGAAGACATTCCTTGAATGCTTAACATGTGAAGTCTATGGGTTTTTTTTTATTATTATTATTTTTTGAAATGTTTTTTAGAAAAAAAAAGTTTAATATGTGTTAAAGGCCATCTGTACTTGTTTGGCTAGGAGGGATTAGACCACCCAGGGTGGTCACTGACAGGTGGCTATCTCATCAACTCAGCTCTGAATTAACATAAGTGAAAGAAAATCCTGGGGGACCAATGGTCACCGATTAGGCATTGTTTTCTATATAGAGGGAGCAAGTAGCTACAAGTAGTACAGTGGGGCTTTAAAGCATTCAAGATTGAAAAATATCAGCCCAAAGAGAGACCCAGGTGCTGGAACCTAAAGGGCAATACAACCCTTTTTTTAAAGGCCTTATCCTATTATGTTTTCAAAGATAGTACCCTGCACTCTCTTTTTTTACTGCAAAATTGAGTGCAAGGTCATATATCACATTATATGTCAGTTTTTCAATGGTTTTGCTCACAAAATGGGCACAAAAAGAACAAAGGAATGCATGCCGCTCTAGTCTATAACAAAAAAAATAGGAGATAAAAATAATTCAGCCGCGTTCACCCAGAAATTGTTCACCCAGGAATTGAAAGGGGAAAAAATAATACATAACCCGATATGTATTCAAAAGTGAGAATATCAGGATAGAGTCCAGAGTCCAAATTCCTTTTTTTTCGCAGGTCTCGAAGTCTACACCATGTTGGTTGTTATTTCAAACAAAATCAAGGACACAGCAGAAAGAATATCCTAACTTTATTAGTTGTACACTGAACATCTCATTGAACGCGGTGTAAAGGGAAGGGGACTATCCAGTTTACGATTAAGATTCATGAGAAAATTCAACGGCACAGGAGAAAAGGCTTGTCAGTTTCAAGACAAGTATGGCATTTCAAACATATTTCTTGATTCACAACATTCATATATTTACAAACGTCACTGCGTGCAGAAATTACAGCTGAACTTAACACGGCGAGTGATATTAATGTAATATAATGCGACAACATTTGAGGAGTTTTGTATCAACCATGTAACAAGTCAATATGTTGTGAATGATGAAAACAAATAATGGGAATAGAGATAGCTGTGTGTAAATGTTTTACCCTATTTCATCGCTGCTATGCGGGCCGCATTTCATTCATGAGCTATTTTTATAATTACTTTTCAATGCTCCACTGGCTGCACCAAAAGAGCTTGCGGGTTGGCCACCCGTGATCCGACCCACATTATGTACTAAAAAGGGGTAATGTAAGGGCAAATTCCTCTTTTCACATCAGTTATTCAAATCTGAAGAAAGAGATTTTAAAAATTCTTCCACTTAAGTTCTTTCTATTGATTTCAAACCCCGGAATTGAAAGGAAAAATACAGAATACTATTAGTACATAACCCATAGGAAAGTGAAAAGTATGCCGCAGACCTGCCGCAGACTTTTAGTCTGCGGCAAAGAGTATGCCGAAGTATGCGGCAGAAAGAAATTTTGCTGCAGACTTGCCGCATACCAGTATGCCACAGGAACAGTCTGCGGCAGATCTGCGGCAGGATGAAATTTTGCTGCAGACTTGCCGCATACTAGTATGCTACAGGAACAGTCTGCGGCAGATCTGCGGCAGGATGAAACTTTGCTCCAGACTTGCCGCATACTAGTATGCCACAGGAACAGTCTGCGGCAGATCTGCGGCAGGATGAAATTTTGCTGCAGACTTGCCGCATACTAGTATGCCACAGGAACAGTCTGCGGCAGATCTGCGGCAGGATGAAACTTTGCTCCAGACTTGCCGCATACTAGTATGCCACAGGAACAGTCTGCGGCAGATCTGCGGCAGGGCGAAACTTTGCTCCAGACTTGCCGCATACCAGTACGCCACAGGAACAGTCTGCGGCAGGTCTGCCACAGGAAATCCCATTAAAGTCTAATAGGGCCAATTGAAACCAATCATCTCATGCATATTCATTATTACTTTACACGTGTGACAGAAAAATACATTTATCATGATTTGTTAAGCAAATTAAGACAATGCACATCATTTTTGTGATTTCTATTTTCCTTTTGCCATTATTAACCAATAGATTATTTTGTCTGATCATGTTACAATTACATTCACGTTTAAGCAATAGATATATTGATTACTAACCAAGAAACTATGATTACTAACCAAGAAACAATATACATATTTAGTATATATATGTGTACGAGCCTGTGTCACTTTAAATGTTACTCTTGAATACACTTCAAATGATCAATGTGATGAGGTTAATACAATTGAGAATAGAACATACCTAATTGGTAATATATATGTATATATTGGTATTACCTAATTGATAATATCGATACTGCCAATATCGATTATGAAGTATCAATCAGTTTATCACTGGTTCTTTTACATGCATACTTTATTGCCACGTACTGGATATGAAAGAGTATGCGGCAGGTCTGCAGCAGGTCTATATGAGATGTGAATATTCATGACGAAGAGTCTGCAGCAAGTCCGCGGCAGACCTGCCGCAGACTCTTCATCATACTGAAAGAGTATGCGGCAAGTCTGCAGCAAGTCTGCGGCAGACCTGCCGCAGACTCTTCATCATACTGAAAGAGTATGCGGCAAGTCTGCGGCAAGTCTGCGGCAAGTCTGCGGCAAAACTAATTTGCATGTGAAAAAGATGACTGTCTGGGCAGGTCTGCTGCAGATCTGCGGCAAGTCTGCCGCAGGAGTATGCGGCAGGCTCATTTCTTTCCTATTAACCCACATATATGTACTAAAAAAGGGTAATATGAGGGCAAAGTCCTCTTCCCACTTCAGTTCATCAAATCTGACAAAAAGGAGATAATTTACTTTTTTTCCACGCAAGTTCTTCCATTGATTCCATAACCCGGAATTGAAAGAAAAAATACAGAATATAATAATTGGATATTTACATGTACATAGCGCACATATCCACCATGCATGGTACTCAAGGCGCTCCAACTATTACCCACGCTCTGCAAGGCAGCCGATTTTGGCGCTCAGAGCTTTCAAGGAATTCAAGGAATACGTATTGAAAAGGGCAAAGTCCCCTTTCCACATCAGTTTTTCAAACCTTTTTGCCCAAAAATGAGAACAAAAGAGGCAATGAACAATTTTTTTTCCTCTACAAAATCGCTTCCACGTATAAATTCCGTTTTCAGCTTTCTTCTGGTTGGTTCTATATTTATGATGCGACTTATGTTCTGATCTGTTTAAATTTGGTTTCTTCTTTAAAGTAAAACCAGTGCAACTCAAAACAAGATCTAGTCAAGACATCCTTTTTTTGTCTCCTTTTATGCAATTAGACTACGCTGCTTATTTGAGAGCAAGAATGTATCAGTTGATTTCAGCACGAGTTCAGTATAAGGGCAGAGTTTGAGAGAAGAAAATGGAAATGAGTCCCCTGAAAAGAAATGCTCTTCAAAGGCTCTCATACTCAAAATTTAACAAGAAATGGCAAGTTGTTTGGACCAAACAGTCAAGCCAAATGTATGTGTAGTCCCATATAGCCATTTTTCGCGGGCAATGCATACCGTATGCTTTTCAGCGAGACTGAGTGGATTCCTTTGTATTCTGATGTACTTCATGATTTAAAATAAGTATATGTCTCAAAATATGGTATACAGTGCATAAAAAAAATAGTCTACCGGTACTCAACTTTGGTAGCTTCTAATTAAAAATCTATGGCCTATACGAACTTGAATCGTACTTCATGGTGAAGGATAACTAATACCCTGTCTAATGACATATTCAAAATTGTGCTGGTACTCACAGTCACCCGTGGCAGAAATAATATGAACGGGTCTCATAACAAGTTACTTTTCATCTTAAAATAGATTTCAAAGTCATATTGCTTACAACTTTTTAATTAGGAGCTACCAAATTTGGGTGCTCTTTTTTTCAATACGCACTGTACATTTCAACAGACACGTTTCAATCAGCCAGTTAATTTCTATTGAAAAGCAAATAAATCCCCCAAACCCGAGAAAAACTAGAACCGATTCATGAATAGAAGTAAAGCATGTCAAGGTATTCTATTTGATGATAAGTAAACAAGTTAAATGTTTTCTGTGTGTTAAAAGTTCAACAAAAGGACCGACCAAACTTTGGATAGGGTTGGGAGTCAGAGTCACGTATTAAAGTAACACCAAGTTATGTCACTCTCTGTGTGATATCAATACTGTGTTTGGTCGAGTGATACAAGAATACATTATTTAACAACTTGACATGGTGTTACTTCACCAAAAGGAACAACATTAAAAACACCTTTAATATATTCATCAAGTGTTAGAAACATTTCAAATGTATTAGGTGTTATATGAATTCAATTCAGAATAAAAAGGTAATACAGACTAACAGAGAGTTGCTAATTTTGTAAGAATGGTGAAAATGTTTTATATTGGTGCAATTAGCTGATTGAAGACTATTAAATGCACCTTTAATATATGCATAGAGTGTTGGAAACATTTTAAATGTATCAGGTGTTATATATATATATATATATATATATATATATATATGTTAATTTCTTTGGAATGATGAAAAAAATTTATATTGGTGCGATATAGCTGGTTGAAGACTAAATTGGGACTCATGATTTCCTCAATTAGATTTCAAAGCTCTTATAACTGATATCCTCAAGATTAATGGGGGGCATTAGCATAATACGGTGCACTTGTTCCCCATAGAAACTCGCTACAATGTGGATTAATGACAACAAAGAATACTAGCACCAAGCAGAATATTTCTTTTTGAGGATCAAGTTTGTAAATTAGCATAAGTTTCAATAATCAGAGATGCCAACCTCTTGACACAAAAAAACAGACTGAGTATCCAAAAAAAAAAAAAGATTTTGGAGAGAAAAATCATGATTTTCACGAAAACTCGACTCTACCCCGGGCCAGTAAAATTTCTGAAAAATGTTTGCTCTATCATTAAAATTTAATGAGAAAATTGTAAAGCAAAGTTTTTGTTGGGGTTGCAGAGGTTTACTTGTATATGTTTCTATGCAATTCCGCTGTTTTTATGGGTTTTAAAAAAAATATTTTAAAAAAAAAGTGAAGATCGTATTTCACTCTTATTATCGTACTAAATACGTTTTAATCGTACTGGTTGGCATCTCTGAATAATTCATTCTCGACTATATGCACATTACAAAATCAGGCACTGAAGATGAGCAATTGAGAACATTGGCAGCCTCCTCTTTTGATGCATTTTGCTTAAAATTATTAAAGAACAGTAGAAAAGAATAGAATCTCACAGAAAGAAAATTTTAGAGTGGTGGCTTTCACAACGTTCAGCAAATTTGCACAGCTCATACTGGGGGGGGGGACCCAAATATTGACCAGTTATGAGAAGAAAATAAGAATTATGAAACACTTCAATATTGGCATCACAACCATTTCAAAAATTGGAGTTGATTTCTTATCTGTCTACAGTGCACAATGCAGGACAATTAACCAGGTGTGGTAGTAGTCATTCAAATAAACCTGCCCTTTTTTTTATTCTCATAAACTCATTCTTGTAATTGTTACATAGCAATGAAATTCTTATCACTGCATTGCAGAGCTCAATGTGAACTTTGAATTGAGATCTGAATTTGTTGAATGAAACACACACTGGTATATCGTTCTTTCAATCTGTTAAGTCAACATAGACTCTAAAGTATTCTTTCATAAGAAAAATATTTGCTTGACTGTAATAGTAAGATACGTGTTTGTAGTTCTTACACAACTTGAAGAAATGGATGAGTTCTGCTTAGGGTGGATTTTTTTTCTGCATTTAAAAAAAAAGTAGATTTCTCATCCATTTTTAGTCAGATTTGGAAGAGAGTCACAATAGAACTTTACCCTGAAAAGAAATGCTCTTCAAAGGCCCACATATTCAAAATATAACAAGAAATGGTGGAGAGTTGGTTAGGACCAAACAATTCTGCAAAATGTATGTGTAGTGCCATACACCCATTTATGTTTGCAGTGACTGTGCTTTTCTTGTAGACCAAGTCAAATTCTTGTCAATTCTGTAAAAGTCCTTCTCGCGTTACAAGAATTCATCTTTAACTTCAAAATTAAGAGGATTTTTTTGTTAATATAGTCGACCTGCCCTCAGAATCTATTTGCTCATGACACCATCTCAAATGGAGTTAGTCTTCCATGATCTAATTTTTCCAAAATAATAAAAGAATAAAAGGTCTTACTGGTGTAGGACAGTGCAAATATTAAGAGTGCCCAAATATTGACCAGTTCTGAGGAGAAATTAAAAAGTACGAAGCACTTCAGTATTGGCATCACAACCATTCCCAAAAGTGGAGTAAATTTATAATACAATATGATTTATTCTGGATAGATAAAGTCTAAATCTCCTCAGAACCTATAAATGATCAATCTCTATGGCACTATGACATCATTAGAAGAAGGTGGAGATGGATCAGACATGTAATGAGAAAGTACATAGATGACATCACACAAACAACCAGAAAGCAAAAGAAAGAGCGGACGTCCTAAAAACACTTGACGAAGAACTGTGGAAGGGGGAATGGGGAACCATCTAAAGACTGGCCCAGGATCGGAAAGAGTCGAAGACTTATGTTGCTGCCCTATGTGCTAGGAGGCATAATGGGCAGTAAGTAAGTCTATGACAATATATAGATTGATTGATCAATTCAATTCTGAGAAGAATAATGCATATCGTCGCAATCATCTCACGAAAAGAGGCATGAACAAATTATTCCAAGTTTATGGGCCAGAGTGCAAATTTTCTTCTCATTTTACCTGTCTTACAAATGAGCATGAAACCGATAGCGCCTGTATTCGTCCCATACGGGGCGTCGATGTGTGAATGGTAGATCCACGGGACACAGTTGGGCCCTCCCTCTGCCGGCCCCGCCCTCTTGTTCGCCTCCCATATATAGGTGTGGCTGCCCCCTGGTGCGATGCGCTCGTCTGCTTTGTCCTTGCCTCTGGTGTTGTCTTCGTACACGGCACCTGGCAGGGTTAGAAGATGTAGGCGAATCACTTTTTAATTTCTCTCATCACTTTCTTGTGATTGTGTCAGAACAAGTTATCAATATTCTCTTCAATACAGCTCTCTCTCTCTCTCTGCGTCCCAGAAAAAACGAAAACCAAGAATGATCAATGTTTCATCATAATTAATAAATGACACATATTTGTAAACCTTAGATCGTCGTCTTTCATTTGATGCAACTCATATAATGCATATTTCATGCATGAGTGATTAAAATCAAATTGAAGAGAGGAAACCCAAAAGTCATTTGGTTGACGGTATCTGAATTTCAAAGAAAAAAAAATCTAATTTTTAAAAGCTTCAGTTTCTGCCCTGTCATATGACACCTCAATTAGGAAAATTGAGCCAGGAATAACAAAGTTCTGTTTGTTTAAAGCTCATCAGTACTAGTGTAAAGGAGGGATTAGACCACACTGCAAGGTCACTGATCAGGTGGTTAATTATCTCATCAACTCAGCTCTCAAAAAATGTAGGAAAAAGAGGATCATGGGGGACCAATATTCACTCATTAGGTATTGTTTGCTATACAGAGGGCGCAAGTAGCTATAAGTAGTGCAGTATGGGGCTTTAAACAAGGTACAGACTAGAAAGCAGGTTATTACTATCTCATTTAGCTAAGCGATACACTTTGGTAGTCTGAACGCACGATAACCGAAATCCCTCACCTTCAGAAGTATGTTAATTTTTGTCATTCCTGGTTATTGTAATCTTTACTTCTGTAATCAATTCGCTACGTTACACTATAGTTTTAAAATTTGTTATTGAATATTATAAACAATTTGAGAATGATCCTATTTGTTTGGAGTTAAATAAATACAAGATGATTTAACTTTAAAAAAAAAAAAAAAAAAAAAAAATCCTCACCTTCAGAATCTTTGAGATAGAAGACACCATGAGGATGCATGCTGAACTCCCTGGATGCCATGTTCTTGGCGTGTATCTTGATTGTGTCCCCGACCTCTCCATAGATGATCGGTCCCAGGAATCCCATCCACTCCGGACGGTCCGACAACGTGGTGTACGAGTCGTCGGTGTACTCGCGATAGACGGCCTTCTTGTACAGGCTACCGATCCTGCCGGGGCCCTGTATGACATACTGGGCTTCTGGACTAGGAAATGAAAAATACAAAAGCGTTAATTGATCATAGATGATTAATCCATACACCGGGGGTGCTCCCTCTATCTATGTGGAGAGGGGTCGTATAATTATGTACTTGTACACATGATACACGATAGACGACTTTCTTGTACAGGCTACCGATCCCATCGGGTCCTTGTATGACATACTGGGCTTAAATTCTGGGCTAGTAAATGAAAAATACAAAAGCAGTCACTGATCATAGATAATCCTTACACCGAGGGGTGCTCCCTCTATGTGAAGAGGGGTCGTACAATTATGTACTTGTGATACATGGCCTGCTATTACTTATTCTGCCTGGGCTTCTGGGCTGGTAAATGAAAAAATACAAAAGCAGGCATTGATCATAGATAAATCATACATTGGGGGTGCTACCTCTATATGGAGAGGGGTCGTTTATGTGATACTTGGTCATGTATTACAAAGCCTTAAAGATAAACTCCAGTACTGGTAAAAAAAAAAATTAAAAAAAATTCTCACAGAATCAAACAAAACTTACACTGAATGTTCAAGATTACAAATAAATGACATGTGCCAAACAATTTTGGAAGAAAATGTATACTGGCTGAGTAATGAGCATAGAAAGACAAGGAAAACAAGGTATACATAGCCCCGACACCATGTGTGTTGTCCCATATATAGCTTTCTATGTGAGTGCTTGTTACTTTACCAAGACTCGGTCAAATTTATTATGATTTTGATGACTCCAGAACCTTGCAGTGCACACCAATACTTACATGCTACATGATCAACTGTTTCTGATCCTTTCCACACATTTTCTTTCACAATTCAATCGCATTACCAGTACTAAAGTTTATCTTTAATTTTGATTGATCAAGCAGACATTGATCATAGATAAATCATACATTGGGGGTGTTACCTCTATATGGAGAGGGGTCGTATATGTGATACTTGGTCATGTATTACAAAGCCTTAATTTTGATTGATCAAGCAGACATTGATCATAGATAAATCATACATTGGGGGTGCTACCTCTATATGGAGAAGGGTCGTTTATGTGATACTTGGTCATGTATTACAAAGCCTTAATTTTGATTGATCAAGCAGACATTGATCATAGATAAATCATACATTGGGGGTGCTACCTCTATATGGAGAAGGGTCGTTTATGTGATACTTGGTCATGTATTACAAAGCCTTAATTTTGATTGATCAAGCAGACATTGATCATAGATAAATCATACATTGGGGGTGCTACCTCTATATGGAGAGGGGTCGTATATGTGATACTTGGTCATGTATTACAAAGCCTTAATTTTGATTGATCAAGCAGACATTGATCATAGATAAATCATACATTGGGGGTGCTACCTCTATATGGAGAGGGGTCGTATATGTGATACTTGGTCATGTATTACAAAGCCTTAATTTTTATTGATCATATAAGGTTGATATTGAGCGTAAATCTATGGCTAATCGTGTATTGATCTACTGTTTTTAATTTACATGAATGATCTTACACATTCTTCTAAAAACGACATTGTTACTATTATTTTTGACAAGTTCACAAGCACAAATCGACGCCTTCAAATGCACATCGCAGTTAAATGAAAGTCCTTTTTTTTTTTTTTTTTAATCGTTTAACCGAAAACCGTCCGGTTTTGACTGGCGGTTAAACGGAATTGGAGATATCTGTGATGTTACAGCACTATTATTGACACAGAAAATTGAAAATCCCTTTGACTCTAGACTTATTTTCTATCATAGTTCAAAGGAGGATTCTGACCTGACGCCAAGTTAATTTTAAAAAATGTGAAGAAAAAAGGTCAGTGACAGTGAGAGAAAAGGCTGCCTTAGAAAAAGAAGGTTACAAGAGTTTTTAATATTCATACGATCACTGTACAAATTCAATTCAATTCAATTTATTTAATAGTACAACCATCAAAATAAATATACAATCAAAACAAGTTACAACAAAAATTTAGAAGAACACAATGATGGTTTGGTGACCCCGGAGAAAGCAGGACTTATAAAAAGGGGCCACCAAATTGAAATACATAAAAAGATCAACAATACTTATACAAAGAAAATCAACATCAAACATTTATTTATTTATTTCACATATTTATACAGGGTATCTCATTCAGATTAAAAACTGGTCTTCCATAAGGCCCTGTCTCAATTAAAATACACATATATACAATTTCTTAAAACAAAATCATACATATAACAGTAGGAAGAAAAAGACAACAAATTGAATACATAAAGCATATTGACATCAAAGCACAATGATAAACAAGTAAAACTAACAATATGAAATAATTTACGATAAAAAACAAAAACCTGATCTTTCATCTTGCCTTGCTTTGTAAAAATACAAATACAATAATAGATATGCAAAATGTTTACATATTTAATAAAGTAAGAGAAAAAATAGAGTATAAAATCAAATACGACAACAAATATATATAGTAAAGGTGAGACCATATTAAAGGTAAATAATGATACAATATAAGAAGTTAAAATGACCTTTGTATTAAAAAAACAGGAAGTGAGACACAGCTCATATAATATTGTAAACGGGCAAGAAAGGTCAGATTTTACAATGTTCAGCAAGATAGAGGATTCATGATAAAAATGACAGAGAACCTATAATTCTCCCAGATCCAATTTAGTAGATACAAATTTAAAACGAGATTAAGAAAATTTAAAAACATGTTACTTCTTTGATATCATGCATTTAAATACATTAAGAGTTAAAAAAAAGTCGGGCTTCCACTGTAAGTTTGTTCCACACTTTAACGCCATAATTCACGAAAGTGTTAGCATAAAATTCAGTATTGCACTTAAAAGGTTTTAACAGATTCTTATTACTATTTCGAGTTGTGCGTTGCATAACATCATCTAGTAGTACATATTTATCCGACACAGCTGGAGGTGCTAAATTATTAATACATTTAAAAACCAGACAACAAGTGGCCTTATCGAACAATTCATTTAGAGTTGGCCATTTTAGGCCATCCAAGACCTGTCGCAATGGAATGTGCCAAGACTGTCTAGAAATAATATAAGCTGCTCTTTTATGAAGTTTATTTAGCATATCGACATTATATTTAAATCGACTAGACCATACAGTGCAGCAATAAAAAGCATGCGGTAATACATAGCCCCAGTACAATTGTTTTAGTTGATAATGAGTTAAAGATTCACGGAGCCTTAATGTAAACAAGGAAAAAGGAGAAGTACACTTCTCTTTTGGGCAACTTTATGATTTCTTTATGATTTCCTTTGTGAGCTATGCTTCAAATCTTTTGTACAAAATATGTTATTCTTGTCTACAGACATTTTTAACAAGCCTGGGCCCAAAATGTGTATAATTGGAAGAAAAAAAATTAATGTCAATTGCAGTTACTGAAATTATCCAATTTCACAATTCATTGATTTTGGTATATTCTGTTAATAAACTTGGTGGGACAATGTATTTCCTTCAGGAAAAAAAGTATTTTCCTTAATGTTTGTATCAACTTTCTTAGTGATACAGGTACTATAGATGAATATTATGACATCTAGCCCCCCCCCCCCCCCCCCAAAAAAAAAAAAAAAAAAAAAAAATTGCCAGGGTAGCAATAGCCTACATTTTTGTAAGTGACGTTTTTTTCTGAATTAGGTCACTGCACATAAAAAGCTCTAAGAGTAACATTTTCCTGGGAGGTGGGGGAGGGGGGGGGGGGTGGAGGTCTCTTGAAACATGATCTCATAATATCTGGCAAAGTGCCAAGAAACATTCTGGCACAAAGAAGGGACTCAAAGGGAAATTCCCTTCCACATAACTGATATTTTACAAAACACAGCCTCACATCCTTTGTATCTAAAACAAATACAGTTTGGCAAGGTTACGATAATAATTACAAATCACATAATTCTGCCTGTTGAACTGTTGAACTCAATCAACTTACTGGTAGTCAGAATGCATGGCATTGTCTACTCACTAACTGCACATGTGCATGCATCAATTTCAAAGAGGATTTTAAGAAACATTATGGTAACATTCATTATGGCCGCTACTCAGAAAATTTTAGAGGGGTTCCCCCAAGGCACCTGTAAGCAAAATCTCCACTCTAAAATTATTTTGACAAGCAACACAAAAAGGTACTCACAATTTCTATTGTGCCTTTTCATTCTTTTCCTCGTCAAATATTTTGAACAGAGGCCTACATGTGACCTGCCCCTCCCTACCCATTGGAAAATTTGAGAAGCACTTTATGTTTAATCAGTTTCCTTTTCGTCTTGTTTGATATGCTTATCAGATATTGTCGACACATACCTGTGCCCCCTATCTTCTTTGATCAAAGCTGTGATAGGTTTGAACTTTAAAAGCGTTGGTTTGTGGTTGTTAAGCACTGAAATGTGAATAGGAAGAAGGAAAAAAACATGAAGAGAAAACATTCTAGCTCAATGTGTTGATACAAAGTAATAGACAAAATCGAAAAAGTCAATCGCTTCAACTTTCAAAGCTAAGAAAAATAAACAGGGCTGGAGTATTAGTAGCAGTTCTAAAGGGGGGATTGGCAATCCTCCCCCTCCCTCTCTCCCCCCCCCCCCTCCTCAAAAAAATAAATATATACATGTATGTATATGTGAGGCAGGACATTTCTAGAGGTGCTGCAAGAGAAATTAATTCAACATTTATTTTTGGAACCACTGTGACATAAACATCAATTTCGGGAAAACAAAAATATTGGTAACCACTGTGTATTTCCATGAAGAAATAACATTTTAGAGACAATTTTAGTTTCTTTTTTCCTCACTTGCTTTGCTCGCTCGCAACATTTAGAAACAGTATGATTTTAGGCAGTGGTGTGCCTGAATACCAGTACCCATAAAGTTAGTCAACAAGGTGCCAGAATATCTCTTTTGACTGAAATTGTTTCATATCAAATTCAAGTTCAAGTTCAAGTTTTATTTATCTTTCTTTCATAACACACATATTTAGGAATATTTAGTTTATTTTTATAACAGCCAAGTATTCCAATAAAAAAGAAGTTTCAAATCACACGTATCCGCTTTGAGATAAAAAGGGTCAAAGACCTATGAAACATGTTAGCCTGGCTCCCTATTAAACATGGTTAGCCTGGCTCCCAGGCTTATGGTCTTTCACTAAATTGATGAAAATGTTTGGTTGACCTTGGAATAAGACAAACAAACCTTCCATAAGTAAATAATCATATCTGATTGACACATCTGTAAAAACCCAATTACACACACACACGCACAATATTCAAAATTCAAAGATGAGTATCATATGACTTGATCCAGAGCCAATTAAGATGAAAAGATGAAAACTTTAAAGCCCCACTGCACTAATTATAGCTACTTGCACCCTCTATATAGCAAACAATGCCTAATCCGTGACCATTGGTCCCCCATGATCCCCTTTTTTCTTGTGTTAATTGAGAGCTTATTTGATGAGATAACCACCTGTCAGTGACCATGAAGGGAGGTCTAATCCCTCCTGGCAAAACTAGCGCAGTGGGGCTTCAAATAATCTTAAGTAAGTATTGTGATCAGTCTAACTCCTGGGAAAACCTAGAGTGTTTTGAGTGAAGAGGAAATTGCCCTCAGCCTGGTAGCAAGGCAACATTATGATCTGCAATTACAAACAAATATTGGTACTTTGGTAGTTTAGTCTTTTATGATTACCGGTATTAGCTTAATCACTTACATGATCAATCCATTATTGATTGTTTGACGACATGACCAAACATGCTAATGATTTACTATCATTATTAATGGTATTGGCATCACCTGTGCCTGGGAGGCGAAAAGCAAACTGAATCAATGTAACCCTTGGGTCTCTCCTCCAGGTATAACTGATTGGGGGTGTGCAGGTGGACTAGTACACCGGGGTTTCCCCCCTACTCTTATATGAATAGTGCAGTGGGTTCTTAATCTTAACATGCAAAGGGGGTGACTCTCTTCTACACAGGGTCTCCATTTAACGTCCTATCCAAGGGACGGAGTGTTTTCCACTTAACAAAGCCTATAGAACGGGGGAGGGGCACGTTAACACACAACGCAAGCTTCAGTCATCCGCCAACAGACGACAGGCAAACGTTTTACCGACATAGCTAACTCGCCTCCTTGCCATTTAATAGTTTACAAGCATAACTCCTGTTAATTTTTTCAGTATTCTTACTCCAAGAAAGCATACATTGTGTGCACCATCTCCAATACACAATTAATCCAGAGTAGCTCGTGTTACTTCACTGTTAGACTGGCCCCTCCCCGTCTTCCTCTATAAAAATACCACCATCTTCACCACCATGCACTTTCATTTGCCATTATCAATATAATCGCCACGGTAACCATTATCAATTTCTATCACCATCATCATCACTACATCATCAGGATCAGATCTAGGAGTATGTAAGGAGGGGATGCTGAAACATGATGATATCAATAGGGGCATTTTTCTTGTGTTGTATACTCAAGGTTCGTCCATTGGTTTTCAAAAGGGGACTCAGACCAGTTTGTGGCTTCCCCCCCCCCCCCCCCAGGCTCAACCCCCATCTACCATTGGATGGTCATGATCTTTACCATCACAATACCACTACCACACTCACCACTACCACTACTACCACTACTACCAACCATGCACTACCACCATTAGGCCTAAAAAAAAGAAGATGTTGTATATTGCCCTTTAGGTGCCAAAACATTGGTTGGTCGGTCAGAATTTTTTTTTTTTTTAACTTTTTTTTTAAACTTTTTTTTTTAGCTCTTTCTTTGGGCTGATATTTCTCACTTTTGTTTTTCTAAAAAACGGTAAAAAAATAAAAATTATAAAGCCGACCGTCGATTTAATAATTTTTGGGTCGGTCGCAAAGGGCAATACAACATCTTTTTTTTTTAAAAGCCTTATCACAATCATCACAAGGCTACCATAACCATCTACGATCACCATGACTACCACCATCATTATCATAATCATCACAAACATTACCATAGACAATCACCACTACCACCACTAACACCGTCATCATAATCATCATTACCATTGCCATTTCAATTCTCCACTTCCACTACCACTACCACTACCACCACCACCACCACCACCACCACCACCACCACCACCACCACCACCATCATCATCATCATAATCATCACAACAATAATGCACAATCACCACTACCACCACCTAAATAATCATCATTGGTATCATAATCACCACCACCATCATAATACTCATCACAACAATAATGATCTACAATCATTACTACGCTACCAACACGTACACTCTTATCATAATTATCCTATATCAATCATTAATCTACCCCACCCTTCTGATCTGAACATAAAGTTTGAAGTTGATCTGTTCCAGGGATTTGTAAAACAATTCCCCGTTTGTTCCACGTATATGTATCAATACAAAAGCAATTCCAATATCCATACCCCATACGTTGGCCCACGGGTAGACGGGGTAGTGAATATGAAGTAAATTAATTCGATATCGAGGGATGATCCATTTCAACATATCCCCATCTCCATCAAAATCATACCACTATAGACAAACTCGTAGTATCCAACTGAATAAACAACATCAACTTACCTGCCCGCAGTAATATTCTTTCCGGTGATTTCATTCATCTTGTTTGGGGAGTAGTCCCAGTCGCGCTCGATGATACCCACATAGTAGATCCGCTCCTTGGCCGAAACTAGGGCGAAGGAAGAGAACGAGAATGCGATGCTCAGTAGGAGCAGTGATTGAAGGTGTCTATTCATTTTAGTACCACTCGCAGGTCTTTTTCTCTTCAAAATGATTGTGAGAGCAAAAGCTGACTACCTGTTTTGCTAGCTA